ATTCCGCAGGTCGTATTGGTCCGGAACTGAAACCTTCGCTGAAGCCCTAGAAGGATTACAACACAGTCGATTCCAATGACAGCTAGGACTAGGAAAACCATCCAAACGACAATGTTGAGGAAGCAGGTCCCCAGCTGCAACAGCCTTCCGCAGCCATCAGCACCTTCATCAGCACCACAGCTACGGTGCAGTTATCCGCAGCTGATCCCCTTCCTCGCAGCTGCGACAGTCCCCCGCCTGGTGCCCCTGCTGGTGATACTGCTCCTGGCGCGGATCAGCGGCATCACGGCCCAGCCGCCGCCGCCGTCGTCCGTCCCCACCTGTGGGCCGGGTGACATACTTTACTATAATGGTGTCGCTGTGTCCATGATCAATGCAACCTTCCGGGAGGACCAGACTGGTGCAGCGGTTGGCTGGTCCCAGTTCTTGACACAGGTTCCCACCTCTTGTGATGATGATCTAGGTGCAGCCAACGGTTCCGTGAATGTGGCCGCACGAATGGGTTCCTTTGCACAATCCCAACCTGCTGCGTACATTCTGACGGAGGCGGAATTCAGTGCCCGCTACAATGGCACCAGTGGCTGCAGTGACCCAGACTTTCTAGTGGACTTCCCCGCCCTGTTCAGTGCAAATATAACCGGCTGTTTATCACTGGATTATGGCTTAGGCCTGCTGAGTTCCTTACTGACCCAGCAGGGTCATGTACCCTGCCAGCCGATGACCTTCTACATTTTTGCTCGCCTCTTAGATACCGCCACATTGTTTAGCACCCCGAAGCGTTATGGTTGGCTGGCTACGGACTGGGTGTCAGCTGGCAACGCTTCTGACCCGGTATGCCCCAACTCCCCCAAGTCCTGGGGCTATGTCAAATTGGGGGTGGATCGTTGCCCCTGTCCATCACCACCGCCACCTCAGCCGCCATCCCCCGTGCCACCATCACCCTCGCCACCTCGGCCGCCATCCCCATCGCCACCACCACCACCACCACCGCCACCAAGGTTGTCCCCAAGCCCCCCACTACCTCCCTCCCCACCACCACCTCTGCCGCCACCCTCTCCAGCTCCGCAACCCCCGCCTTCGGTCCCATCCCCCCCTCCCCCTCCACCATCCCCGGCACCTCCCCCACCAACCCCTCCTCCTTCCCCACCTTCCTCACCTTTACCCCCATCTCCCTTACCGCCGTCCCCATCGCCACCTTCTCCATCGCCACCATCACCGCAGCCTCCTTTCCCAAGCCCACTGCCCCCGCCCCCGCCATCCCTGCCTTCCCCACCCCCTCCACGGCCACCTTCTCCCATCCCTCCCAGCCCCCCTCCCCGGCCACCCTCGCCATCCCCTCCCCCACCACCTTCCCCTTCTCCACCTCCTCCACCCCGCCCACCCCCACCTGCACCTAAGGCTCCTAAGTCTCCCCGAGCCCCCAAACCCCCCAAAGTCCCCAAGGCACCCCAGCCCCCACCTCGACCAGCAAACAACCTGCTGGTCAACAAGTTCCCCTTCTCGTCTTGCAGTGCTAGTGATGTCAGCCTCACACCGTACCGGATGACGTCACCCATGGGGCCGTTCAACGTAACCGCCACCGCCGCCACCTACTGCTTCCGGATCTCCGCCTCAGCAACAGTGGACAGCACCAGCCCATGTGCAAGGATGGTCATCAATGAGCTTCAAATTGTCATCGGTGAGTGACTGTGTGCTAGCTAGCTAGTTGTGATCATCGTGGTGGCCTCCAGGCACCTCATCTATCAGCCGTGTGCTCAACATGCACGTGTGTGTATGTGTTTTGGGGTCCCTCGCTCACTCTGCCCACCGCCTTCATCCGCCCCCCACTGCCCACCGCCTTACGTTTCCTTCTGTTGACAATCACACAGACTCCACCCTCTTCCCCACCGACCCCAACCCCCCTCCGCCTACATGGTTCGCCGCAGACCCCAGCTGCGTGGAGTCCTTCCCCAACTCATTCCGGGTCACCACCATCAACGGTGTGACGGTGTCCCCCGTCTACAGCTACAAGACCTGGCGGGAGCAGGCATACGGCGTGATGACGATCACCTCCCTGGCCAGCACCTTCCCCGCAACCCCGTCTGGCGACCTGTATGTATGTCTGGCCATGAGTCGAAACAGCAGGTGTGGCACTCCGGCGGGGCTGTGCTACGGAAACAGCTGCGTGTACTCGCTGCTCAATGCGGACAACAGCTGCTGCCCCGCCAGCCAGGTGCCGTACTAATAGGTGAAAGGTCTCCGTAGTAGAGACCGTGCGATGCATGGCACAGCTTTTGCTGCAATTATGCGGCTAGGACAAGTGAAGCGGGTCGGCTAGGTCTTGCATGTTTTATGAAAGGTCGTTCCATTTGTTCCTAAGGCTGTGACCGGAGCACCTTAGCACATATTTTTAGATGATACGTGTGCCGTACTATGTGCAGCTACTCACCCTGTCACAAAACACCAAGCGCCGTGACCGTAACAATCCTGCGGAGGGTCTTTTCAAGAGCTGTCTGATTGTTCCTATGTTGAAGCTTCACATGTTCATATATATGTGTGTGTTTTATACACCATCTGGAGTTGCGTTACTCTCCGAAGGTGTAACGGGCCCATACACTAGGGCTATCCAAAATGGATTAAATATGATAGATCAAGTTCATTCACCGATTAGTAGGAGCTGCACGGGCCCCGAACAGGCTGCTGTTTGCTGAGCTCTCGCAATTTCCTTTTTCACACTGCTGTTGGGACACGCTTGTTATTGGTTTTGGGAATAAGGTCGTTACCCGGCCTGGGCTGCTTGTCCACGCAACTCTATGCGCCTCTATGCCAGGAGGTCCTCCAGGCATTGAGAGGGCGGGGAATTTGCAGACGGTTCGCTGTCCAAGCTGTTCCGTATTTGGGGGAGCTTACACACTGGCTAATGTTGGGATCGCGCTCGCAAGCAGAGGATCTCTCTTTCATAAATTAATTGGAGTGTTTTAGATGGAAATGGATGGTGTGCGTGGCATGGAATGAATAAAAATGAATCGCAGCCCTGGGTGATAGTTGACAACATAAGCATCGCTGTCATCATTGTTAGCCTGTCGATCAGACCAACTGGGTTCCGGAGCCAGGGATCTGCACCGCACTCCCTAAGATCGTTTACCCTACCTCGATGTTATTCTCTACATTAATGTAACGTATACGGACCTGTCCTCTCCGCCCCTTTCGTCCGGGATTAAGGAACAGTTTAAGAGGTTATGAGCCCCGATAGCGCTGAGCGCTGCACGGAAAGGATCCGATTCCCACTGTGGCTGTTGTCCAGAGCTTGGGAAGCCGGGATGAGGCATAAGGGGAGTGCCGTGAGCGAGAGATTGTTGCTCACGGTGGAGGTGTTGGAGTGTGACCGACACTCATATACCAGGAAATTGTGACAGCAATAATAGGACCCGGGAGGGGTCCGGCGCTTTGCTCTGTTTAACAGGTTACGAGCCCCGAGCGGACCCGACCGGGGTGCTGGTACTATCGACTGATCATGCAAGGGCATCTCGCCCCGGGCAAGAGCGGGATTTATGACATGAATCTGCAGACGTTTCGCCACGCCACGCTTACATAGCTGGAGGAATCAGTTGAAAGATGGCACCGCTGGTTTGCGCACTTAGGCCATGATGGAATCAGCAAGCTCGTAAAGAAGGGGATGGTAGATTGGCTGCCTCTGACAGGGGAGCATGTGAAGCACGCTATTGAGGCCAAGCGCATGTGCGAGCCCTGCGTTAAGGCCAAGCACACGCGTGCATCCCACCCTCCGTCAAGTAACGTGTCTGACTCTGTTTTGCAGCGTGTTCATTCGGATGTTTGCGAGGTGCCTGTTAATTTTTTGGGTGGTGCACGGTATGCGGCACACTCCTGGACGAGCACTCGAGTTTTTCACTTGTGTCCGAAGCCGTTAAGGAAGCACTTATGTTGACGGAAACTCAGACAGGCAAACATGTACGTGGGCTACAATCTGACAGTGGGCAGGAAGAAATCAATGTTAGCCTGCAAAAGTTCTTTTGGGAGAAGGGGATTTTGCATAATGCGTCTGCCCCCTATACATCTGAGAAAAACGGCCGCGCAGATCGTTTGAACCGCACGTTGTTGGAAAAGGTCCGCGCTATGTTGCAGGATGCTGGCCTGGAGCAGGAGTTCTGGGCTGAAGCCGTGGTGGCAGCTTATGCAATTCGGAACTGCTCACCGGTGAGTGGCAGGATGCCACTCCATATGCGCTGTTCCATGGGTACATGCCTGATGCTTCGTTTTTTCGCGTGTTTGGCTGCACTGCATGGGTTTATGTTTATGTGGAACGGAACCAGCGCAATAAGCTGGAGCCCACGAGTGTGAAGGGAATTTTGTGGGTTACAAGCCTGGTGGCAAGGGATACCGCATTTACTTGCCAGGTCATGATTTCATGCAATGTTCATTTTGACGAACACTTCCTAAACACATCCATTCCATTGCCCGGTTTGGGCGGAGACAACGATTCAAGTACCGATGCGGAATCCGCCGTGAATACATGGGAGTTTGATAATGAGCAGCCCGTTGTGGTTTCGGGTACCCCTGCTGGTAGCAAAGAGGTACAGGGGAATGCCGGGCAGAGTGGGAAAGAGTATCCATATGACCCGTCGGAGCCCCAACAGCCAGCGGGGAAATCTGCTGGCAAGCGTGTCTGGTGGGAGAGATGCTAATCCTAAGCCGTGGGTTAATTGCCGGATCTATGCCGCCAATTCCAGCAATGGTAAAAATTCTTAAAAAAACTAAAAGAAACTACTGCAACAGATAAAACTGAGACACTTACAGGAGCACAAGTAATCTCAGCTCAGCCGCACACAGCTGCCGCCCTTGAATTCAAGGATTCGAATGCACAAACCACCACAGCAGCCTAGAAGGCAGCAACACGAGAATATAGCAGTTGACTGCACGCATGAGGAAGTAGTTCAAAAATGAGATAAAAACAAGCACGCACTTGATGCAGTCGGGGGAGAGGCCAGATATGTATGCAGTTGCTAACGCGGGTTGGGGGCCCATGAAGGAGCCACTCCCAGGCCCCAAGGATACACATCAAGTACGAGAAGGCCGCGATGAAGCATGTGTCGCGTACACCCAGGGCACCTATGAATGCGCGAAGGACATGAGGCACAGAGCTCAGGCAACCGTCTCAAAGGAGCTTCGAAATCCGGGGGATCTCAGCTTGGATGGACCTTCAGGAATATGCACGGGAGGATAGATGATACGATTTGGACCCAGTCCACGTCGCTAGTGGAACATGGATGCAGACCCGAAGGCAGAGCGCATCCGGGTACATTAAGGCAAATCCATCGCTGACGCTCGAGAGACGCCCTACATGAGGACCTGCATCAGATCCCGTGATACCCAGGATACTACAGCATCATCCAGTACAGTACGGCACAACCGAGTAGCTTATGTCTGCACACGACGGGCCTTCAAAGTCCAGGGACCCTGGCAGTTCCCGATAATAAGAGCCTAAGATGGGCCCTATGATGAAGCATGATATTGATGTGAGCCGGGTAGGAAGGCAGCACCAACTTTTGGAGACCAAGCATGCTTTAAAGTCAAGCATGCTTGGTGTCCAAAAGTTGGTGGTACATTCCTACTCTGCTCATACATATGCGTTTACGCAAGTAATGATAAGACACTCAAAACGACCTTCTGGCTTGCCTTTCTTCCTTGTCTTAATGGACATGTCTTAGCGAACATACACTGCTCTATCAACGCCATTACACGTTGCATCCATGCTGACTAATGACACAAGACACACCTCGACTCGTCACTACCTTCTCATGCGCATTCCCATAATGGTTGCCCATAATGGTTGCCCGTGATCAAGGGTATACCATGCAAAGAAGTTTTGGTGATTAAGCGTGTGGCCTTGTGCAGGTCCTGACACATTAGCTAGGTAAGCGCGCACCCATGCACATTCAACAACATTTGCCTAGGCCCATCACCGTGCACCGCACAGCACAATGGAGGCATCATTCCAAAGCGCCCACACGCCATATGGCCCAGTGTGAGGTAGCACTATGCAGCAGCTCCTGCAAGGGGATCAACCTGGCCTGCTCGGTCAAGCACTCATAAAGCAGGCCCACTAATGCTTACGATTTTTTGCAGCATGTAAAAGCGAACACTTAAGCAACCACGGCATGCTTTTATGCAGTTACCTGCCAGTACGCCTTCCATGCATATGCATGCACCACGTCTTTCACGCCTATTAGGGCTTCACAATCTCTATGTCACCCCTGCAGCTGAAATGGCTCATGGATCAGTGAACCGTCTCGCGGGCGGGCTTCTCGCCCCGTCCCCAACAGCGCACTGGGCGGACAATGGTTGTCAAGGCCAAACAAGGACACACCGCACGCTAGTGTTTGTAACCACACTGCCCGCAGTGACACCCTCAAAAACCACCAGGACAGTCGTCAGCACCAACACAAAAACACAATAACGTACACCAAGAGGACGCGGGACACCATGGCTGGTCCCCCTTATTGATTGAATGCGCTCGCTCGTTTCATTAATACTACAGGCACGTTGATCGACCTAAAGACGGCGCACAGTTGCACCTTAGGCACCCGGGTTGGATCAACACAGTCAAGGCAATGGAACGGAGCTGCCGCCCTTTGGTCGAAGCTCCCAGCCTGAAGCATTCCATAACCACCGCTCCATGCTATATGGAATCGCTGTCCTTACGCGTACACACAGAACTACAGCGCAATCACCGTATGAACGCCGTAACAAAAGCCGCAGCCGTGGTGGTCCCAGCATTATACACAGGCGGTGCCCTCACTTTTCCTTGGCGCCGCAGCAGCTCCAGTGCGGCGCCTTGATGATGGCGGCACCATGGGTGCAAAGGGGCCCCTCGGTCATGGTGGAGGTAGAGCACCAGTACTTGGTTTCGGGGCCTCGCCATACACCCTTGTGTGCACCGGGGGTGCAGGCACCAGTGGAGCCGGAGGTGCCGCCACCAGTGGAGGTGCCGCCAGTCGGCGCTGGCCCCACCAGACCCCAGAACCAGCAGTACTCATTACCATCAAACTTGACTTTCATGTCGCCATCCGAATACTTATACGATACGGTGCCCACCTTGCCGAGGTAGTTCCCCATGCTGCTGTTCCAGCCGCCGTGCCCGTCCTGCGCCGCCTTGGCGTCGTCCACGGTCACGTTAGAGATCATCACTTGCGTTCCCTGGTGACAAGCAGTAGGTGGGGGTTGAGGCTTACTGGAACAGCATCAGTAAACTGGGGCCGGGTCTACTGCTGATAAGCTTATACCGCTCCAACTACACTGCGTGGTAGATACCTGTGCGTGCGCTATGATGGGCAAATGAACCCTACTACATTTTGAAGTTCCTGCTGATGGCGTGGCACAAAGGGCCCTTGGCACCACCTTTGATTTCGCAGAAGTAGGAGGACAGCTTTACGCTTGCATCCCTGAAGGAGCAGCGCGGACTAAGCGTAACACACAGCGAGCATGGAATGAAGATGCTGCGTAGCAAGCAAGACGGGAAGCCCCGGAAGAAGGATCTGAACAACGGCAAAATCTGCCAGCGCCGAACTGATGCACGAACATTATGCCTTGCCAACAAGTGTGTGTGCACACTCTTGCCTACTCCCACGCCACGCACCACTTCATAGGACGTCGGAGTTAAGGTTGGCGTCCCCGGCAGCACCAACTCGTGACTCCAGCAGTACTCGTCCCCGCTGGCGAACTTAATCTTGACGTCGCCGTCGGAAAACTTGAACGACACGTCGCCCGACTTGCCGAGGTACTTGCCCATGTTGCTGCTCCAGCCACCATGTCCGTCCTGGGCGGCCTTCGCCTCGTCCACTCTCACGCACTTGATCGTCGCCTTGGAACCCTGCAGAGCCATAGCCAGTGAAGACGTGCTTCCTTGCTTGCGGAGCGTCAAACGGGCACCCCTGTCATCAGTGATCTTCCTCTGGCACCACCCCGGTGACGAGGTTGCCGCAGGGCGCCGCGGGAAGCCGTCATCGCATCTGGCTTATGCATGGACCGCAGCGCTGTCGCGCGAGCCTTGTCAACCTATTACTGCAAATGTGCCCGTACACGTACGTCCCCCATGTACACGCAGTCGCTTCACCATGCTGATCGTGTGTCGTCAGCACTCACCACGGACAGGCTAGCCGTTGACAGACCTGACCCGCCGAGGATCAGCAGCGAGGGGTTCCACAACTTGGTGTCACCATCAGCGTCCATCTTGACGTTCACGTCACCATCCTTGTCTACGCTCACCACGACACCCGTCTTGCCTAGCATCTTCTCCATGGCTGTCGCCCAGCCGCCATGGCCACTTTGGGCGGCTTTGGCTTCGTCGACCGAGACGCTCTTGATAGTGACCTTGGCACCCTGTTTAAGGTTAACCAGTAGTCACCACGAGCGATGAACATGGGCAGTTGGTGTGTGTGGCAGCGCATTAAGCATTGCTGCATGTATGCGATAAGGAACCGACGTCACTGGTGGCCTTAGACCCACATTCTCCTAAGCACGCCGATCCTAAAGGAACCCGCGACCATAGGAAATCGAGCCATGCGGCCCAACAGACCACGCCGTAAACCCAGGCCTGCGCTCTCCACCACCAACTTTACCACACGCGGACAGTCATCTCGCCATGCACACACAGGATGGCGGCAAGTTTCTGTCCGGATGCCGTCTGACAAGGCTCCGTAACAACACTAGCTGGGGAACTGCAATCGCAGCTCCAGAAGTGGTCCTTGCCTAGAGTAGCCTTTCCATGGCAACTTTATCAACAGCGCTACAGCACTAAGGAGTGACAAGAAGCGGGAGAGGACGCGGAAGGGTGGCACCAAAGACTGCAGAAGTGACTGAAATGCGTAGTCAACGCCTACAGCCATAGCCAAGCACAGTATGCGTCGCTCTAGGCGGTGGCCGCATGTCTGCATGTCCTCCACCCGGCCGCTTATCTGCACCCACAGCTGTGGAGGTTGATGCCGATTTTGCCGTCGCAGCCGGCGTAAGAGCAGTTGGAAAGCGCAATAAACCGAAGTGGCGTGTCTCCGCGTTTCCTCAAGCCTTTAAAGCGCCCAATAGTGCGCCAACTCCCGTTGTTACGTGCTTGCGTCGAGTTTCACCCGCCCACCCAGCACTCCGTCGCGGTACCATCTCGGTACATTCTCCCAAACATGTATGGTTGTGTGGTATAGGGCGAAGTCAATGTCTTTTCCAGGTTCCGCACCCGCCACCAGCATCCCATGGAATCTGCCGGACCAACGGATACATCCACCCTCTCGCGGTCGAGGAATTTTCATCCCGCACATTGTCGGTTTCAAACCTAGTTCCTTTCAAGGACACAATGCGCACCGCCGAGAAGGAGGGCTTTGCAGGGGTTGCAGCCTCCGTCGGTGCCGGCAAGACCAGGCCCCAGTACCAGCAATATTCGTCGCCGCCTTCAAACTTGACCTTGACATCGCCGTCGCTGTACTTGTAAGACAAGGTGCCGATCTTTCCCAGATACTTGCCCATGTTGCTGTTCCAACCGCCATGTCCGTCCTGGGCCGCCTTGGCTTCTTCCACGGATAAGTTTTTGATGTATGCCTTACTCCCCTGGAACAGAAATGGGTGACGCGCCGTTGAGCACGGGTAGCATCTGAATAGGATCGCTTGGGCTCGCAGAATGTATCTGTACGGTGATATGGCACATTGCCCGACGGTTGAACCGTTGCATGTGGTGTTCAGCGACGTCGGAAACCATGTGTCTCTGCCTTAACAAAACACAGCGATAGAGGTGCGTGAAGTACAAAACCCCCCATACACGCCAGGTGGTTCGCAGGCACCTGCTAAGGGATATTCCTCAGCCAACCCCAAACCAGCCTGGGCAACATTACACAACGCGCACCAATGAAAGCGATGTGGTCGGCATCACCACGCCAGGTAGTACCAACTTAGGGTTCCACAACTTGGAATCGCCACCGGCATCCATCTTGACTTTCACATCACCGTCCTTGTCGATGCTCTCCACGACACCTGGCATGCCCAGCATTTTCTCCATGGCTGCCACCCAGCCACCGTGGCCGCTCTGTGCGGTCTGAGCCTCCGAGACCGGCACAGCTTTAATGCTGACCTTGGCGCCCTGCAGGAGATGGTAAATAAAGCACCGCGTCACTTAGCATTAGGGCGCAGATCATGGAAACGAAGCTGTAAAAAGATATCCACAAACTCCAGAACAGTTTGGAAAAACACTTCCACATGCGCCATTATAGTCATGGCCTAGCACTCCCATGGAGGCAGCATCGCACGACAAACGAAATAGCGGGATGTGAGGCCTCGTTCGAAGCGTGCATCGACTTGGAGAAAACAGGTCCGAGTCACGAGGGAAGAGCCACCGTAATTGCAGGTGGGGATGTGTACTCACGACGGCTATTTGCCCGGCAGACGGGCTCGGAGCTGTGGCCGGCTCGGGCGCCGGTGCTGCGCCGCCCAGCGTTATGAGGGACGGGTTCCACAGCATGCTGCCGCTGCCGTCGTCCATCTTGACACGCACGTCACCATCCTTGTCCACGCTCTCCACCACGCCCGTCTTGCCCAGCATCTTCTCCATTGAAGTGGCCCAGCCACCGTGGCCGCTCTGCGAGGCCTGTGCCTCTGAGACCGAGACGCTCTTGATCGTCACTCTGACACCCTGCGGTTAATCCATGGACAGGTAAGTGCACGCTCTGCAAGCGCCGAATACGGTCCAGGGCGGTAGTGCTCGATGCACGTCTCGGTTACCACAGCTGCGAACGCCAAGTCTGTGCTGCTGTGATGGGCACAAAGCCGTGCGATAAACACGATCCCAATGGCTAACAGGACATCGCGACTTGTTCCCAGCCCCGTCCAAAGCAACATTTGCCTTCCTCAGACACGCGTGCTTGAAAGTCACCCGTCACGCCAACAGCAAACAGGCAATCGTGCTCGTCACTGAGTGTGTGAAGCGGCAGCATCAGTGGCAGCCAGACGCCAGGGCCTCCTGCTGCTCCTCACTTACCGCGCGTAAGGGCGACAGGGCGGCCGCGTTCGGCACGACCAGCACCGGATTCCACAACATGCTGCCGCTGCCGTCGTCCATCTTGACGCGCACGTCGCCATCCTTGTCGATGCTCTCCACCACGCCCGTCTTGCCCAGCATCTTGTCCATAGACGATCCCCAGCCACCATGGCCAGCCTGCGCCGCCTTTGCCGCATCCAATGGGATGTTCTTGATGGCCACCTTGTCGCCCACCTTGATCTGCGCGTCAGGTAAGCATAGCGCCACTACATTTATACATGTGCGCAAACGCTATAAGCATGCCGATCATGCATATACTTATGGTTACACACTCTAGGCAAGCAGGGCTGCCACATGCTTTAGAAAATCGAAAGTGTCGCCTGCCAGCCTATTTCACATACTCGAGTTGGTCAATCAAATCCGCATGTTCCGGAAGCCCTGAACGCGGCCACAACTTCGGAAAGGCCGTTGCCCAGGTTAGGATAGTGGTTATCGCGACCATGATGGTGATCGCAACTTCTTTGTTTTGTCCTTTCGTGTACGCAACTAACATGCACTAAGGCCTGCCAGCCCAGCACTACCTGAAGGCCGGGCGTAAATACCATGTCAGACAAATCCAAGCGGCAAATCAAACCATATTCCTTTCACCCGGGCTTCTACCCATGCCATGCCGACACATATTTGAGTCCAAGGCCTTGCCTTCAGCACTCTGCTCTCCTAATCGCTATGCAAGAATTCACAGCAGCAAATGGTACCGGTGTTTGTAAGAGGCCGACACTCACCTTGTAAGGCTCGGTATTGAATGCAAAGGGCTTCTGCCCAAAGTTGACGGAGACCACCTCGCCAACGCTGCGGTTAGGGGCGGTGTTGTTCGTGGCCTTGGTTTGAGGCACAAGCAAATTCTCCATAGGCGTGCTGCAACAACGCCTTTGGTGAGGACATCCAGGCCGTGCCAAATGCGCCTTACCTGTGCAGGCTCACGGTTGGGTAGAGGAGGTTGTTGATGTTGACAGAGATGGCTTTGCCCTTGGTACCGTTTTTCCTGGAGCCAAGAAGAGCGTCCGTTACAGCGGACACAGCAGCGGCACAAGTGGGCAGGTGCACAGTCAGGTGGGGAATTGTCCCTCGAACCAGGGAGGGCTGTGGGGACGATGTACACGGACGAGGGTGGCGTTAAGACGCTGTGGCAACAGTGTCACCTACATTAAAAGCAGCAGAATGGGTGGCGACACATTAAGAGCAACCAGAGTGGCTGTGTGCTCTCTGCCGATCACGAGCGAGGATCTAGGTTTTCCTATTCTGCACTAGTGTAGTAGCTGGCGGCCGAAAGGCTTGAGATGCTGGGAATGCGCTTTAGCGCGCACCTTATGTTTAATGGTGCGTGCCGTACTGTATGACAGCTACTGCGACAAGCCTTGTAAAGTGTAATCTCTCCCTGAATAAGTCCGGTGTGCACGCGCGTAAGCAAAGGATGGTGTACACCGGAGGAACCAGCCCGTGAGCCGTGTAGGAGCTGGTCGGCCGCAACTTACGTGAAAAAGATCTCCTTCCGCTGAAAGTCCAGCGCCGCGCCCACTACGTCACCCTTGCCATACTTAAAGCCTGTCATGACACCCAACGGTGGATGTCAGTTCCATATTGGGCCACAAGGCGCGCGGGTCCTTTAGGCCACCGTTTGCCTACCGTTCCTTTAATCGCAATACTAGTCAGCATGGAACTTCGTCCCTAAGAATAATGCATGTTTCGGTGCACTTCATGCACAAAGGGCATCCTTATGGCCATCTTTGGAAACCCCCCGCGGTGTAGGCCAAAACGAACTATGGGCCTTAGTATGAAAGCAAATCCAACCGCCGCTGCCGCAGCAGGGCAGCTCCTGCCCCAATGCCCAGGATAGCATGAGTAAACCCCCCTCGCACCACCATCCCCAAACCCACCATAGTATTCAGCGCGACCCTCGAAGAAGGTATTGCCGTCATCGCCATGAAAGCCAAAAGTGCCCGAGTCCCAACTGAGTATTTCATCAGGGAGGATTGCAAAACGCGGGATGGGCGGAAATGGTTATATTGCGCAGGCGCCCAGGCACAAAGAAGCCGATGATGGGTACCACGCCAGGCAACCAAGCCAGACAGCCACTCTTAGCCCATGCAGTCATTTCCTTCATTCCCCAAGCCCTGTCCGCGTTTCTCGCCCACAGTCGGCCGCGGACATACAATTTTCGGCCCGAATACCAAGAGCTTTCCCGCATCCCACCAGCCTCACCCAACGTGGTGCGAGGTGTCGTGGCTGCTGGGTGCATAGCCCAGCCCAATGGTGCCCATGGCGCCCGGCTCTACAACTGTCATCTCAAAATAGTAGACCAGGCTGGATGCCGGTGCAGGGAAATCGGCCTGTACGGCTCCCTGCATGGTGCAGTGCAAAACCAGCGGTGGCAGGTGAGTGAGGCAGGAGAGGTAATGCATGAAGCACCCATGACTTCTTACACCCCGACTTCTTTCCATGGCGCTCGCTCAAGGGGCAGCACCATGCCAATTCGTCAGCCACCTCGGGAATGAATTGTTCAAAAGGTAACCGCACCGATGAACCGCCCGACAGAGGCCCCCGCCCCTGCGGATCTTGAAGATGCGGCTCATGACATGCCTGATGGCTCAACCCACTCCTGCTGCCAAAAGACCCTGCGGCAAGCCCTGACGCACCACATCGGATGAATTGGTAACGAAACGCACGGTGTACTTGTCGTTGAGCGCCGCGTTCTTGCCGATACGTGCTGAGCTGAGCGCAGACGGCAGCACCACCTGCGGTAGCGGTGCAACCGGGTTGCCTGGTTTGGTTGGCTTGCGTGATTGCGCAGTGTTATGCAGGGAGATGGAGCTGTCAGGCTCTGAGTGGTTCTCGGGCCCAGGAAGCTACTGCCGCCGCTCCCAAGTGCGTCGGTTCCTGTGCTCGTAAGAGGATTCATCAGCTAAACGAAACGAGGATCGCCAACTGCGTTGACAGGCCGAAAATGAGTTGCATCGACCCGGCAAAGAGATGGTGAAGGCGATGAGGAATTTGAGGCCACCGGGGTGGCCAGGAGTACCGGTTCTGCGGTAAGGACGCGTTGCACAACACAAAAATGCCGTGGTGCAACTAAAGCCGCACTGGTGCACTACGCATTGGTGAGCTGCACCTGGTGCTTCCAACATAGGAGGTCAAGGCAACGCAACTAACAAGCATGGGCCATACATGGACACGTCCCTTCGTTCCTGAGTGTCAGCTATGCCCCACTGCGTTGTTGGATGCGGTAGCGTCGCTTGCTGCTTGCTTACCGCGGCAGGCGTCCCACCCAGCGTTATGAGGGACGGGTTCCACAGCATGCTGCCGCTGCCGTCGTCCAACTTGACGCGCACATCGCCATCCTTGTCCACGCTCTCCACCACGCCCGTCTTGCCCAGCATCTTCTCCATTGTAGTGGTCCAGCCACCGTGGCCGCTCTGGGCCACTTTGGCAACGTCAATCGACACGTACTTGATCGTCACCTTCGCTCCCGGAGTTGGCTGGTAGTACGACAAGATACGATATGTACGTGCAACGTATAAAACTCTCAACAATTGTGCACAGCCGGCGCAAAATTGCGGGAGAGAGCATTTCCCAACGTTACGGTGGACACGTATACAGAGCACATTGCTGCAATAATGCATGGATCCTTTCTTGCAGAATACAGATATTCAGAAAATTGCGAATGGCGACCTCTGCACTAGACCTATCGCCAGGAGGAATATCGCGTCGTGCATGGCGTCGGCCTCACCTTGCCAGCCGCAATTGCCGCAGCCATCTCCTCCTGCTTCTTCTTTTCAGCTGCTGCTGCCGCAGCGGCTTCCTCCTCCTTTTTCTTTCGCGCCGCTGCTGCTGCCGCAGCCGCCTCTTCTTGCTTCTTCCGCTCGAGAGCTGCTGCCTCTGCCGCCTCCTCAAGCTTTCTGCGCTCAGCGGCCGCGGCCGCAGCCGCCTCCTCCTGTTTTTGGCGCGCAGTGACGGCGGCCGTTGCGGCCGCTTCTTCTGCCTTTCTGCGTTCGCTGGCCGCTGCAGCTGCAGCTTCCTCCTGCCGACGGCGTTCCGCCGCCGCTGCCGCCGCTGCTTCCTCTTCTAGCCGCCGACGTTCAATGGAGGCCGTCAGTGCAGCCTCCTCTTTCCGCCTGCGCTCTGCGGCAGCGGCGATGGCCTCTTCCTCCTTTTTCCGGCGCTCAATTTCCTCCTTTTCAGCGCCGACATATGTAGGACCAGTGGCATATGGACCCCGGCAAGTCACAAAGATGGAACATCGAATGTCCAACCGCGGCTCATTGACTGTTACTCGCCTAATCTCATTGACTAAACTCATGGTGTGGAGGTTAACAGAACTGTCCAGCAGTTCCCATGTTCGCAACACGTGACACGCAGAGTAGGATATCGCATACAGGCTTTGCGATGGGCGCTGACGCGAACTGGCGTGGGGTCGCCTAGACTTGACAATTACTTGCAGCCAACGAAGAAACAGAAAGGATGCATTGATGGAGTTGCGATAACTGGAGGTCACGTGGGGGCAGCAACTTTGCTGGCATCCCGGTGCGAGGTAGCTGCGACTAACAACGTACCTGAGTCCTAGCTGAGGGTGGCCTAGTAGACGCCGAGCGCGACGAGGACGGGCGGGACGGCTTGCCGGGCTGAGGCACAATTTCCATCTGCAAACCACAATAAGACCGCCAAGGTCAACACGCCAGTCACAATGTAAGCAAGTCCCAGTTCAGTGCAGGCGAGGACGCTTACCGTGCAGGTATGACCCCAAAAACCTGCCATACAACTTCCCTGAACCCAATGTCCCTTATGGAGCTTAACACCGAAGATGGTTAAACCATGAGCCCATCCTTAAGCTTTCACGGTCACCCACCATCAGAAATACAAGGCGCCCACCCTTGTTTGCCAGGACCCCGCGCACAGCTGCCTCACACAGGCCCATGCATGCCGAGCAACCTAGTCACTCACCACAGGTGTCGCATTCTCGTCTACGCGCAACTGCGCAAACATGCCCCTGACGTAGACGCTGCGATCGCCCGCCGCAACCTCCACCAGGTCCTCCAGCGCAATCCGCAGCCCCTCCGCGGAGCGCTGGTCCAAGTTCTGCTTCCAGCAAAAGTAACTGTAAATGGCCCACACGCGATCCGCCTCATTCCACGCCTGGTAGACTCCCGAACGTGCCTCCACACCCAGGTAGTTGTGTAGCCAGTTGCTAGTGGGAGCTTCCGCGAGCAGGCTGGGCGACAGCCAGACGCTCACAGCGGCCATACAAAGCTCCGCGACCCTCGTCTCTAGGCCCTCGCACGCGCGGGCCTGCACGCTGCCGGTGCGCACCGCCGCGGCCAGCGGGTCTAGCACCGCATCCAGCAGTCCTGCTGCCTTGGTGCCCAACATTTTTTTGTAGATCACGGAGGATGTCTTGTCCTCGGTGCTTTTAAGCATGGCATCGACGACCATACCCAGCCAGCTCTCCAGCGACAGCCATTGGCACAGACCCTCGTTGCGCCCAAAGCGTGCCATGCGCTCCGCCAGCGTCCACACACGGCCAAAATATTCTCGACCGGCGACCATATTTTTAGCGAGGATTGCCGCGACGATGGACGATGCGACGGCGCAACGGACGGAACCCGCGTCGGCACGCTTGCTGAGCACCTTTTTGGCCTTTACCAAGATTAGCCGCACGGGACCCTCGGCTGGCAGCGGCCGGAAGGTGGGTAGCACACGCATGGCTCGTGCCCGTGCGTAAAAGACCTTGCTCCTGTGCACCTCAACCATGGAGTCCTCCGAGTATTGCGGGACGCAGGACCTGCACCACATTTAGTGTGAAAGTCATTAGTCATATCTGGGACAGCTGCGCCACGGCACGCTATAACATGAAGAGGAGCCAGGAACCAGGTCAATAACGATAGAAGCAGCCGAGCTTGCAATCCGCGGAGTGGCAGGCCTGCGGCTCACATAAGTTGCAGCCATGACATGGGAGCCCTTGGGTGATGTCTTGTTTATGCCGTTATGTGTCCAACCATCGATGTGCCCCCTGGCTGCTAACCCCATGCCTATGAGTTTATCCCGGCCTCCTGCAGTGGAAGCAATATGCGGTCAACGTTGCATCACGTTTCCAAACTTGCGATACCTTCTATGGTATCGTGCTACGCTTGTCGCACCAGCCATCACAGCTAAAACGATGCAGCTATCACCTCCCTGCATGTGATTCTCTGCCATCCTGCTCTGCCGGCCTGTGCTACGTACCAATCGATCCAGACGTAGTCAATGCCATTGTCCCCCGCAAATTTCAGCAGCGTGCACAACTCCTGGAACTGTGCGTTCGACATGGGCGAGAAGTCCTTCTTATGCTCCGCTGGCTTCTGTTCTGACCATCTCCAGCTGACCGTCACCACCCGTTTCCACAGATCATCATCTGTATCCATGTACGGCAACTGATGGCACTCCGTCTCGGGTTCCACGTCCTCGTACGCTTTAAGTATCTTCCACGTCAACACCGCCTTGATCTTAAGCAGACGCATGGGCGTTTGCTGGATGGCAGGCGGCATGCCGTCATGCAGGTCGCAGAGGCACTCAGGCAGGCCGTTGAGGACCATGCATTCATCAGTGCTGGCCACGGCGGGTGGCCCCAGCGCCGCTGCTGTGGGCCCACGGGCAACGATGCCTTCATGGATGACCTGTTAGCACAGCATACCCCGAATGTAATTGTCCAATAGAACCGCTGCGGTGATGCTTCTGCCAGTGTCCCAGGATGATCACGATGCACCATGCATGGGGACCACTAGTCCATAAACTCGGCAGCACGGCCACTAGACGATGGGGGAAGGCTACCTGGTTGCGCGTCGATGGCATGAGCCATAGAGGAGGCTAATCAAACGATATATATGTGCATTTTAGAGGCTTCATTCCAAAAGGCATTTACGCTCATGTCACAACGTAGCATCACATGCGGCAATAGACACGAATCAATCAAGCCAGCAAGCTCAGCTCATTCCACGGCTTATTGAACGGATACAAATGGCGGAATACAATTGGCGGAATGCAGCTCTCGGGTCTCCGAAGAGGTACGTTAGCCATCGACATGGGTTGTGCAGAGCAGCGCCGATTCGGGAGCAAAAATTGTAATATCACATCCCTTAAAACGACATCTTTGAAGAGACCTTGTGCAACGCTAAACAACTTGGCATTTCAGGCCACCAAGCAAACCTTCGGGCGCCCACCCCCTCTCGAGACAACAGAAAAGGCCTTCCCTCATAGTTGCAGCATGATGCTATGTTGACCATGTATGCCAAGTTCATGGAAACCTGCAAGCCTTGCGTGCTTTGCGTACCTTTAGAGAAGACTCTTCTTCCTGCTCAGAATCAACTTCCTCGGCGACGGGCTTGGGATCATCTGGAATAGATGGAGACTCAACCGTTACAACAGCAGTAGCAGCCGAATCCCTCGATGCTCCGCATCCCATTTCTTTGTTCCACAGGTGCCTTTACCCCTTTGCCCTCATGTACTACTGCTTGCTAACCCATGCAGTAAAAATTCCTTGTGGAACTCCTTGCACGCGTGAAGGGTTCTTTCTCAAATATACAGTTGGACAGAATAATAATGCCGTATGATGCTCGTACATAAACTCAAGCACTTAAAACCGAGACGAACCGCGAGGTAATAAAGACACAATATATTCTGGGAATTTCCATCTGTCAAGCCCATTATGACCGCGTTCTGTCTTCGCTCAAAGCTCCTGCTCTGCTCTAACTTGCCGTCGCACGGAAGCCTCAATGCCGCACTTGCCTGAGCATGAAGCATCCCATCATATTATGCGAGATCTGCCACCATAGTTACAGTTTAACCCTCAAGTCATCAGTACATATGCACATCAAGGCAATAGGTATGGACACTTCGTAAGATGGTGCAGGTGGACAGGGCGGTGTAAACCAAGGCCAATTCACGAAGGTCTAGTCCACGGACATATATGTATTATTTAAGTAGGGACGAAGTTAACCCGCTTTTTTACAATACAATCCGTCGGAACCCTGAGCGCCGTACGCGTCCTTCGGGGCCGGATCCCCTACGAGTCCAGCAACTTATCTGAGGTTCGATGGATGCCCTCAATGCTGTCCCCGTAAGCAAGCAGCCGTGAAGTAAAAAAACAATCTGGCCTGATTGGACACCCGCAAACCCCTTGGGCCTGATTGGACACCCTGGCGCTGCATGCAGCCGTTGCTGCTCGCTAGGCCAGGTGGGGATTCTCCCCAGCTGTGGTTTGCCATATTTACAGCCTTGCGTTCAACGGACAGAGAACCCAGTTCGAATGCATGCAGTACAAGCTTCTTACATGATGTACCGTACCACATGGATGCTAGGTTCCAGACAACCAAGGGTGGTCGCTGGGCCCGGACCTTAACTGAGGATTTAATGTGGGAAAGAGATGGGACGTGAGAAACTCTAAACTGGCCGACATGCCGGCAGGCGTTATAGTTTATGGGAGCTGGAGATTCGTTTAGTGGTCCATGGTGTTATTAATATAGCCTGTTGTAATACTGACTAATGCTAGGATTTGTATCAACCATAATACCTATAGGCGGGTAGGAGCTGCGCACATGTAAGGAGAACTGGGTGATCGTTAGCGGTCCGTTCTCTCCATGGTTGGTAGCGCAGCGGTCGCGAGCGACAACGTCAAAGCGACTCAAATAGACGTCCTTCAAGACATGCGTTATGTCCCTACAACCACAAACTGGTTTACATATGCTCTACGCCGTTATGAAAAGAGCCTAACGACATCTGTCTATCGCTTGGTCTAACTAACGAACTCTTAACCAACTCAACGAGCCACGACTGAACACAGTATCGGTTGACAGCCCAGAATATTGGCCAAGTTTGGTCCGATAACCGATGTGACTGCTATGGCAACTACGCAATCCCAAAAGCCGTGGCAGACGATCGCCCAGGGCAATCTATGAACCACACGAGCGTCATGTGTGGGTTTTGGCCATGTGCATGACATCCGTAGCCCTCGCGATTTGAGCACATCGCGTTGCGAGCGCTGCAAACCCGCCTTGCGTGAGGCAGGGACCAGAAAGCTCGTTTATCTCCTCTGTTCACATTTTTTGTATTTCTCCCAGCTATCTAGGGCTGGGCCAAAGTAGCTCCCCGGCGTAGTGCTTCCCTTCCTCCTGTCCGGTGGCATTTTGCGCTGCATGTAGCCTTATGCTTCACCGATCCGCGCCCGCCAACATCCACGAGATCCTGGTGGTCGCTATTGGCAGGACATCTCCACGAGTTTGTAGCTCGCAACTACAATAAGGTGCCCGGATAGGCAGGATTTACCATGACCACAAGAAACCCATAAAAATTACGTCAACACCAGCACCCGCAGTGCAATGTGCAATAATTTCTATCATTATCTAGCACAGTGGCAAGTGATGCATGGCCGGCCGCACCAATTAGCCTAAGAAACTATTATGATTATTGCAGGCCAACATGACTGAGGCAGGAATGCGCGATTTAGCACCCCCAGGAACTGCGGGAAGGGTTTGTGTAAATTCTGGGCGGAATGGCTTACGTAAATTAAATCTGAATCCACGGGCCACGTCCCCCAGTATATATAGAACTCACACCTCCCGGGAAGGCGTTATGTATCCATGCAGGCTACCCGCAACCTAGGCTGCATGACAACCTCGGCTCTGAGGTTGGGAGGTGTGGGAGACGGAAAGAACGGGTGCGCGTTCTCTGCAACGTGGATGGTCAAAGATGATACGTGGCCGGCTCTATCCTTCGTAGGGCTGACCAAGTCCGACAACCTCTGTGCATGTAAATCCTTACACGCATCCGCGTGATGAATAACAACACAACACGCACTTTTTGCACTCGGTATCCCGGCGCCGCGTGCAAATGTGCCTTCTAGACATAAGCGCCTGGACTGCAGCCAGCCTTCCAAACCTAGCCCCCTCCGCGGGTTGTAGAGTTGGCTATGTGATTGACCTTTGCCAACCCAACCTGGGATGTCCGTTTGGGTGAACACTGACGGACATGGGGTGCCGTCGACGACAACATCACCACCCAGAACCCCTGAATAGTCTGTTGCTGCGTCATAGCCTTTCCCTGTTTTGCTTATCACTTTTGGGGTTCTCGTCATCCGACATGTGGGTTGCTGCGTCCACGAGGCTAACCCGCCCGGTGCCGACCGAATACCTCGCATCCGTCGTGTTGCAGCACCATGCTGCGGTAAATCGCGTGGTGCGCATCAACTACCGACAGACCTTCATTCCACCAAAGGTGTGCTGCGTGTGTTGTTGTCAGGCCTTTATGTGTTTTCTCTAACTGCCAGATTAACCAGGATTTTGGCAGCAACCAAACTGGCGTGATTCAATTTTAAAAACCGATTGACAAGCGAGCGTCTCGAGCCGTGGCCTATATTATCACGTGCGAATTCATCTCCGAACAGACCGAAAACACAGCCGCTTTTTGCCAACATCCCCGCACGCACACAAATACGCCAATGGGCACGACAGAAGGCCATCTCACACGGAACTCCCCCCTGCCGCCATGAGCGAGCAACTACATGCCTGCTGCCGCTGCCAACGCTGCTTCTTCCAACATCTATAACCTACATGCAATCCACTACCGTTTTCAGGCGGCTGCACTAGCATTGAAGGACACATCTATTCAGTTCAGACATCCACTACGGCCAGCCCGGTGTAGATAGACGTTGGGACGTGGAAAGAAAACCCGAAACAAGCCGGGCCTGGAATCACCCAATCGCGAGTATCCGCACACTTCTATCATACAACGCTGCAGGGGCCCCTCCGTCCGAAAAACCAGACCAAGCGTGAAGACACACGCACCAGACAAAAGGCCACGGAAATCCAAACACCCTCCGCCTACCGCCTCGCCTCCGGTACTAAGAATTAAGGAGAAATTGCTAGTGTCCAGACGCACCGAATAGCAATGAATGCGGTCGGATGCCCGTATGTCCCAAACAGAGCGGACCACGATGTTCGGAAGACCTTCACACCTTGCGACAACAAAAGTGCGGTCAACGCAAGCAAGCAAGCAACGTTCGGGAAACGCAATCAGACAGCTAGCAGGTACGTCTGATGCCCCAAACGGTACGCCTGCCCAAATACTAATAATCGCGCAAAGCCTGCGGTCGAACGGCCGCAGTGAACGCGTGTTTTACCTCCGCATCACTTAATTGCCTCCTTATCGACTAGTTTTGAAGATGAACAAAGCTAGAGCTCCTAAACAGAACGGAACAGAACATCTTCATCGGCCCCAAAGATTAAAAGTACGTTTTCCTCGTCTGGATCCGAACTCCAAGCCTGGGCCCTTATCCAAACCCCTGTGCTGGCTATAGTTAAAACATAGTGACGTACTCGGTAGGAGTACACACACTGCGCCCGGACAATAGCTATCCACTGGCATCTTGCATGCCCTAGCAAACGCTGTTCCTGTTCCTTATAATTTTATCACTACTTATTGTTTCTGCTGTGGCTACTGCAACTGCTGCCGTACGGTACGGCTCCCAGTTGGGGTCCGTGCTGCCAGCGAAATACTAGAAAGGCCGATACACAACGCCGCAGCCTCTATGTTTCCTACGGGGATATCAAGAGATCCAACTTATTTCCAATCGGTGGGACCAATTAACGACTCGGTGCAACCAACTAACTAAAGCAATGGAAGCAAGGCCACCAACAAACGGCGCCATGCACAACTCACATCGATTTGCTGATACTGCGGCCGTACTGCCGCTAGCGACAACTGCCGTCGCAACACGCACACACACATACATACATACACCAGCAGAAGCTTATCTTCGCACGACGCAGCTACCCCGCATGTCTCTCTCCCCACACACGTATGCGAAATGCATGTCTTCCCGGAACTAACGCAACACCCACTCAGACCATCTTGTCATCAAACTCTCTCCGAAACCAGCCCTCGCATGTCCCTGCGTTTGCGTGTCTCTCACAACAAGCACAACTCATTCCCAGTTAAAAATCACATGCCTTTGGAGATGTATGAACGTAACGTTATTTAATTAAATCACAAGGTCAACTCTCCGTCCTGGAAGTCCCGAAACCCGAAATTAAGCCTAATTTACAGAGGTAAAATATTACTGTCTTAACCCTGCTGCCGCCAACGAGCTGCACGCGCCCAATTCACTCTCTCCGACCCCTCGAACAATCTACACACTTAGATATCACTCTTCATCTACACAACCCCGACATGTGATCTCTGCTACTTGCCTACTATACTTGCGGCTAGCAGCAAGGCCCGCCGCAACATCAGCGAATGCATAACGACGGCGGCAATGGCTGCGTCTGCGTTTGTGGCTCCGCGTATTCTGTGCCCTCACTCCATTCCGTCTTCAACACTTCTGGTCTGCCAAGTTGCATTACCTTTTGCCCACGAAAGTGACACAACAAACGTTTTAAAGACTTTTCGGTAGCGGCATATCGACAACACAACAGGTCCCAGAGGAGGTCCTTGCTTCCAAACTCGTCAGGGGGTAGTTACAGGCGTGTAATAATCACCAATTTACACAAGCGCACCAAAGAGGATTCCGAAAGAATCGCAGACGCGTAGAAACAGCACCAATAGCATGTCCACTAAATGTCCAGTTGAGACAGGATTCAGCTAGGGCTTTTTCCGTGCGGTTCCTCTTTCTACCCCCGCCATAAGCCCCTTGTTGACGGTCACCGGTTCTTACCCGGCAACGCCGTGTCGCCGCTGCCGCTGCTGCTGCCGCCTCGCAACGCACTCACTACAGCCGCCATGCCCGGCAACTCCCCAGAATGCCTCGCCTTGCCCTCTCTGCACTACCTGCCATCCCTTGAGGCGGTGGGCAGGCGGTGTTGCCAATTCCGGCTGTAGCCGTCTGCCGGCTTGGGCTGTGAGCCGAACTGGTTGCTGGCCAGCCGCACACCACCCTGCGTTCCGGGAGCAAGTGAAGCAGCTGAAGAACGTTTGCAAATGCATCAGGAATACGGATCTCGTTTCTTCCTGCGCTTCGCTAAAAAAACACATTTCTTCCTACTTGCTTCCCGAGTATTGCTCCATGCTGCAGTGTGTTTGCACCCACCCTCTGACCAAGCATCTGTCGGCTGGCTATATACACGCATCCTACACCTCTCCACACATACACACCCGCGCCCCGCCCTCCCCGCCCTCTTGGCACGTACCGGTAGCAGCAAGTCAAAGTTGTAGTGTGTGTGGCCACAGTACCAGGCCGCGATGCCGCTGTCTGCAAGGTACGCGTCAAGATCCGTGCTGTAGGCGTGTGTGGACGGGTGCCCTGCAAAGGCCGGCCTCGACGTGCCGCGCATCGACGGCGCATGGTGTGACAGTACCACGGGCAGCAGCCCACGCTCGCTGGCCGCCTTGACGGCGCCGCGGAGATACTCCAGGGAACTCACGAACAGGGAGTTCGTCACCTCGGGGGTGATCGGGGGCCCGCCCGGGCTGGCGAAGATGCGGCGGTAGTCCAGGGAGGTTTCGCCGATAAACTCGCGAATGGTGGCGGGAGGCGGCTTGTGAGAGGACGCTGAGGAGGAGGAGTGCCGATGGTGGTGTTGATGATGATGGTGGATGTTGCGTGGTGGCTTGAGCAGTGATGGCGCAGTGTCGACGCCGGCGGCTGCAGAGGCATCATCACGACCAAAGGGAGATGGAGCTGTAGCAGCGGATGCGTCCGTAGCCGGGGTGAACGGCTTCCGTACTTCTTCGGCCGCACTAGCAGCGGGGACGCCGGATGCATCGAGGTAGCCCGGATCGGATTGGAACACTGGAATGGCGGTGGTGGTGGCGGCGGCGGCGGCAACAACCGCCGGCGGCGGTGTCACCTGAAGAAGATCCGACTCCCGGTTCGTGCGGAGATCCGTGTCGATAAACGCCGACGCACTATCACCCAAACTTCCTTTTGAAAAAAAACAAGCAGGATTCGCGTTGTCAGATGAAGACGACAGCAGTGGCGCAACCGTCACATTCATCCCCGCCTCAGACGGGGCACCGGAACCAGCGGCGGCGGCGGCGGCGGCGGCCGGCCGTGCAACCGTTTTCTCTGCTCCAGACGGCAGCGTCAGCTCTCGGCAACTGTCGGCGGTTGCGTACGGCGACGAGTCGCTTCTGTCAATGTCACTGCTCTGGCTGCTGTCGCTGTCAGTACTACGCGCATCGCTCTCGCTGCTGCTACTGCTGCTGTCAGCACTGCTGCTGCTGCTGCGACGACCCGGCCTAGTTGCCCCTCGCCAGGAGGGACATGGCTCGTCGGGCAGCAAGGATGACAGCGAAACGCAGTGCCGCAGCCTCCGTCGCCTGCACACACGACCAACGCCACCAGGGATGCCACATCCGCCGCTGCAATATCCGGGGCTGCATGACACTTTCAGATCCAGAGTCTTCAGCCAATCTGCTGGCGGCTGCGAATACGACATGAACCTTGGCGCCGAGGCAGCGGCGCCAGCGCGGCCGGCTGCCGCCGGCGGCGGTGGCGGCTGTAGTCCTGTAGCAGATCCGCAACCTCGTCCCGCTCGATATAATGTAGACGGGAGAAATGAAAGGCCCCATTGCCTGACTTGGGAAAGCGAATTCCGCTGAGCTTGCGGTATGACAACACCACCGGCCGCCACAAGCGGCACCTCTTGCTGCCGCTGCGATTCCTGACCTTGCCGCCCCTGCGGCTGCTCGGAGCCAGTTACCAGCCGATGCCGCCACATCGATGCAGCTTCATCGCCGCCTTTGCAAACTGCACCCTGTGCTTTTACGTCAGCTCTTACAGAAGTGGTGGACGCTGCGGCGGCGATTGGTCCAATATCCCATGCAGCGTCAGTGTCCTGCGTAAAACTAACGGCAGGTATTACCGGTAGTACTGCGTGCAGCGGCGGCAGCACATCTAACGGAGTGATGCCAGGAACCATCATCTTGGCGGCCGGGGTGTCGGCGGCGGCGGCGGCGGCGGCACCGTCATTGCCGCCGGCGAGCCGATGGTGATCCGTGGTACCGTTGTCGGCCGCCTTCTCCTCTCCCTCCGACGACGGCGGCGGGGGGAGCGGCGTGTCGGGCAAGTACGACCATAGGGTCGTGCCGATGAAGGCGATATTTCCGAGGACGTAGGTGTCGTTCTGCAGGAAATGCACGTTGAGGTGCGCGGCAGCCGCCTGCCGAATAAGCTCCTCCGTTTGGGCCATGGTACGACTGCTGCCGTCATGGTTGCGGTACTCGTTGTTGCCAGCCAGAAGCAACACAGTGGGGAACCGTACAGCGCAAGAGGCCAGGAAGTCGCGATAGGTTTCGGAGCTGGGGTCGCCAATGTCACCCAGCAGGCATAGCACTGCGATTTGGGTTGGATGTAACAAAGCCGGAAACACGTCTCCATTGTTAGTTGGTGGTCGTGGTAAACCAGGGTAGATGGTTCAGCGTGCGTTTTCATAAAAAGAGAGATGCATATTCCTTCAGCCAATCATACATTCAGCAAAAAAACGCTTTCGTCGCTCCACCTGCTGGTCACAACGGTCAGGCCGCAGTGCTACCACAGAGGAAGTGCAATTTTAATCTGCATTTCGTGCGAGGTGACAGGGAATTGCTTGTTCCCATTGACCGGGCTTCCCACAGCACACCCAAGTATCACGGGTAGCAGGCATAGCACGCGATGGGGACACAGCACGGCATGCATTTTCATGCATATCTCCAGGACCTGTCATAGAAAACTAATAAAATTGCAAGGGAGCCTATCACAAATATGTCGGTAAACACAGAAGTTGCACTCCTCTAACTGTGCTTTTATGCGTGCTTGTAAACGCTGCTGTAGAAGCAACGCCGCCGCCAGGTTTTCAATTCAGAACCTACCATCTGAGGATATGCTTGGATCCAGAATCTCATCTAAGCTTAGTGGTCTTGCCTCCAAATGCAAGTCGGACACCACAGTAAGAGTTGCCATTGGTACCAGCACTGTTGCCTACCAAAGCTAAACACGAAAGTACTTTACTATGCTTGTGATTCAGTGAGGTATAACCACCCTAATGTAAACATACTGATCGCGCCTCGGGGTCGGTGCCTACAAGAAAGAGATGTTGCAAGCAGATGCAGAAAGTGTGAGTCCTCCTAACATGTCACAGACAACTGTGAGTTCAAGCATAATATCGTCATTGCAAGGCATGGACCTATGCGCTAATTTCCAGGACAAGTCGTCGAGGCAGCGAAGCTGGGGCCAGCAGTTGAGCGCAACATAAGACACAAAGAATCTCATACAAAGCTCTAAGCCTCGGGTTTGTGTAGTTACAGCAAATCGACTAGGTACTCTTTGCACGGATAATGAGGGGTATAAGAGCTAGGACAAAATCGACGGCCTCAGTGTGACTCAACCAACAACGATGAGCAAAACTATGGTCAAGCTCAGTAGGAATTTCATTAGGATGAATACAACTCATAACGTGAGGCTATTGATCGGATGCGCCTGATGGGCATATACTATAGTAGTGTCTCACCTTTCCAGAAATGGAAAACTTCCCTTGTGTGGAATAGCCGCCGGACGAAGGAGTCCAGGGTCAGAACATAATTTCCTCTATCCAACAGGTTCAGGCTGCACAGCGCGTTGCACAGTAGCGGGTGGCAGGCCAAGGAGGCCAACGAGGCCAACGTGTAGGCCCTGATGCGACCTTTTAAAAAGGTAAGCCAAGTCACAACCAACGTAGTAGTAGATGTCTAACTCTTTTACTTCACCAAGTAGCTTAGATCTATGGGCTAGGCAGGAATTTGTTGTAGCCCTAGATTTACGCCTACGGCACACTTGCAACGGCATCATCCGTACACATGCCCAGCATGTGGGCCTATATGCTTAACGAAGCATGCCGTCCTCTAAAACTGCGTTCGCATGTGATTGGCTTTGCGATTCACAATTATCATACATATTTGATTTTGCGCATTGAGCGTCTGAGTTCCAAAAATGGTAATTCATGTTGCGGTGAAGCATAACAACCGCGTTTGCAATTGCCGAAGCCTCGCAACGAATATTGTTTCAGCGCACCTCAAGACCTCTTGCGATGCAGGACCCAGACCCAGATTCGTGCATATTGCACGAACGCAAACTCTCGCCCCCATTGTTCGTTTCTGTGCACTGAATACATGGTTGCTGGATGAGCAGGAGAGCCTACTTGCATTGCCTCTTACCTGAGATGAGGTGATGCTCACGTGCGGCTGCAACTCCTGCCGGCAGTTGCCGAGATAACCCGCCGAGGTTAAAGAAGCTATTGCCATAAAGCCATCGGCTGGATCGCCAAAGCAATGTCATAGCTCCATACCAGGTGTATGGCTGACTGAGCACTAGGCGACGCAAGCCCTCCTAATGCCGTTCTGGACCGCCAGATGCCGTCCTGGAAGTGAACAGCACATACCACGAGAATGCAAAGCATGATGATAATTTGCTGACAGCGCAAGGAGCTAGCCGCCACAGAAAACCCCTAATTGCATGCTCGTTCAGCATGGATCTGATTCGAACCGTGAACAATGCCCGTTCATCTTATGATGGGGTATCACGTGCAGCAAGCTCATCATAAAGCTGCTGGCACAGGGATGGAACAACTTTTGGACAGCAAAGGTTGCGTGTCTGCAAGGCGTTGCGTTGGCATTGGAATACTAACGATAAGAAAAATCCCGTCGTGCACAGAGGTGGATGTTAAGGAAGCGGGGTTGAGTGTATCCCTGGATATGTGTTCAGGCTGTTTATCACTTGCGGAAAGTTGAGAGACCCCTTGATGGGAGCAAGCGCATAGTTCACATCATAGAAATCGGCGACACGACCGGCACCAGTGAGCTGTACGGACGTTTACAGGTCAGGTGACAGCCTTGCTAACGGTATGAACAAGTCAGTTTATTAGGCCTGAGGCGTTTGTAGCAGATAACCACTGAGATACGATTGCTGCCAGGTTCTTGGCCATGTTTCCCGCCATCCTTTTGTTTTCAGCAATAATGCCTACACCACCAGCTTTATAAACCAGAGGTATCATTACCCGACGTCCAAGTAATCGATGCATCTTGACAATACAGACCCGTGGATGTGCCATATGGGTGAACTGGTCATTCAGGCGATTCCTTGACCCGTGTACCCTGCCCTGGTCTGCACATCCATCCTGGACCCATACCCAGCATGTAAACCCGATTTCTCACCACCCCGCTGTCAACCCCACGTAACCTAATCTCCCCGCAGCACCAAGCCTGATCACTGACACATTGTGCATCGGAAAGGCAAGGGTCTGGCCTCAGGTATCGAAGCTGTCTAGGAAAATCCAGGGATCTGGTGAGGGCACCAAGCCTGACCACTGACAGGAACCGGTATAGGGAGCATCGCGTTTGCGCGGCATGTGGCATCAACGGAGCCATCGAAGAGGAGAAGCACTCCTTACTGGATTGCCCGGCGCTAACGCAGGTTGGGACGTAGGTGTGTGGGCATCTTATATCATGACAGGTCGATGATCAGCGTGGTCTTGCGAAGGTCATAATTGACATGTTTCGCCAATGCCACGAGCGCGTTACATCCTAGTACTGACTGTGGCTTATAGCGACGTTATTGCTTAAAGACTTTATTTTTGAAGCTTCTAAATTCCATCCATCCGTCCAAGATGCAATTGCACGCGCCCGTGTGATTTGGTATTGGTTAAGGCAAACCTATCCATCACGGCCAGCTGGCCCGATGGCTCTACTCTTCGGGAGTCTGGAGCCCACTGTAACAACCACACACATATCCATCAAAATGTTCTGTGAAAACATGGAGATAACGGTGCTGTTCACGGATGACCAGCCCTATTTTGGTCACAGGCCGCGTCATAGAACTGCAACGCCTACAGGCCCGAATGCACTGCAATTTCACAGAATTATAAGCATTTCAAAATCATGCTAACAGATTTCCAAACTACTAAACCATCAAGGAAATCGCTTCCTGCTAGTAAGTGGCAAATAGGGCCGGTCATCCGTGAACAGCACCTGACCCCATAATAATGATTGGCAGTCGTAAAGCTTGATGTATAGCCGAAAGGTGATAATCAGCACATATGTAGCTGTGGTTTGGCTAAATGTGCTGTGCGGCGCTTATGGGGCTTATGGAAGTCTAATGGCCGTGCGAGAGGCAGTCGCTGTCTCGCTGAACGGTACCATGTCATGTGTCATGGTGTCCCTTTTTAATGACTGGCCAATGCATGGGTTTTGACTAGCTTATCCTGCTTATGTAGTATCGTAGAAAGCTTCAAAGACAAGCTGAACATGCAAACCTAACAAAAACAGTTAAACTCGGCTTGGAAAGATATAAGAAACATGGCTGATTTCAATCCTGATTTCAAGTTTGATTTCGGCGACGGCGCGGCGGCCGCTCAGCCGGCATGGGAATTTTCAGGTGGGTTTCGCATGCACCGCATGTGCTGGGATAAAGGCAATATACGCAAGGGCTGAAAGTGCCCGAAGTGTTATTCTCAGGGGAGTACCTTGAACGGGGACCCCTTGTTATAATCACGGTGCATCGGATGCCGGCCAACCCATCCACGATGGGCGTGAGTGCTGCGGCAAGGGCATGCCGCCAAACCCCTTCACGACCTGCCCAGTCTCCATAACACTAGGCCCGCCCCGACTGCAACCTTGCCAGACACCTTCCCCCTCCCCCGCACCCACACCCAGGCGCGCTCCGCCAGGCCCATTCGGATGGCCCCGTGTACGGTACCTCCATAGACCACAAAATCTCGCAGCGCCTACGCCATCAGCCAGCAGGGCGCCCGCAACAGCAGCAGCAGCTACATCCGCAGGTAATGGCCGAACAGGTGTTTCGCCCAACAGGATCGGGATGTGGGGCCCTGTGGGGGGGCACTATTACATGGGGAGGGCCGATGGGGGGCACTATTAGCGCGGTGGGCGCCCGAAGGGACTTGGGGCCGAACCTGTCGCGCTGAGCTGACCAACAATAGGCGCTTGTTCCAAACTTATAACTGGAATATGTGAAGGGTTTTGGGTTTATGGTTTTAGGGTCGTTCTGAGGAGTGCTCTCGCCCTTCTCCGGCGGTGCTGTGCCCGGGCAGGGCAGGGCAGGGCAGGGCGACTGGGTTCGGGGTTGGGTTCGACAGTGAGAGGTGCCAGACTTGGGGGGTAAAGGTGTACCTGTGTTTTTTGTGAGGCGGGTTATGGATGGAAGCAAAAGCTGTGCTGATTTCTTTGATGCCGGCGCTCGTGGGCTCATCATCTCGCCTTCATGATGTGCGGCTTCATTAATGGTGTACGGCAATGCCTGTTTGCGTTGCAGACCAACGGTCATGGGGGTACGGCAGCTGGACGCAAGTTGGCCAAGGGGAAACGTAGCCGTGGGGAGCGGGAGGACGATGATGACGATGACGATGACATGGAAAGCGAGGATGACGACGACGATGAAGAGGAGGATGAGGACGAGGAGGAAGCCCCGCTGCCTGGTACGTTGCGGCCCTCCTCGCTCTGCGGCACTGGGTCCGCGGGGCAGTCACCCCGGTTACCTGTGCAACCTCTGCCGTGCTGTGCGCTCCGGAACCGACCAATTTCGGACTCGGGCCCCCTCCCACGGCCCCTTTTGGGCAGTTGCGTCATTACTCTGGACCCGGGCGGTTGGTGGCTTGGACGTGACAGCTGTATCTTCGATTAAAGGTTTTGCATTTGTATCATGAAATGGTTCCAGAGTTCCAATGCGAATACGCCCCCTCTCTCCGCGTACGGCTGAACCAGCGTTTTTTTCCTTCCTAGTTCCCCCGACTTGCTCCCCCCTCGCGTGCGGCCGTATAGGTGAGCTGGACGAGGAGGAGGAGGAGGAGGACGATGACGAGGAGGAAGAAGACGAAGAAGCTGAGCAGGAGCGCGCGGTCCCGGCCGGTAAAGGCAGAGGAGCGAAATCAGATTCTGCAACGGGGCGGAAAGGCGCAGGGGGAGGGGCTCCCTCGGCGGTACCGAAGCGTGAGAAGACCGGGCAGGCTGCGGTTGCGAGCGGGAGTGATACCGAAGACAACGACGACGATAGCCTCGATGAGGATGACGACGGCGTTGAGGAGGAGGAGGAGGAAGAGGAGGAGGAGGAGGAGGAGGAGCCAACTACCAGCGGTCGTGGCGCTGCGGTCCCCCAGCCGAAGCAGCTGCAGGGCCGGCAGCAGAACGGTGGCAAGGCGGGGTCGTTCTACAGCGACACCCCCGAGGTGAGGTGTGGTATGTGGTGCGGTAGTGGAGATCCCACTCACCCCGCCATGCCTCTCATCCACAGCCGCCCACCCGCTCACCTACTTGCCTCATGCACCTCCCCCCAGGGTACCAAGTTCAGCTCCTCCTCCTTCGCCGACCTCAACCTATCCAGACCGCTGCTCAAGGTTCGGAAGACGGGAACAGGAGGAGGAAGAGGAGAAGGGGGAGGGGTGCGGGGGGAACACACCACAACCGAATGAAGCTGGTGCCAAGGATAGACCGAGGAAGGGGGGTGGGAGGAAGGAGGAAATGGGGGAAGGGCCCTGCCGGACACGAATCAGGAAGATCTAGCCGTACGTCTGGGGTCAGAAGAGGTAATGGAGATAGCGCTGCAATTAGATGAGAGATGGGCGAGCGTGGAGCAACGGTTGCGTTTGTATGTGCCGGGTGAGGGGGGAGGAGGGGGGGGGAACTGCTCACTCGCGCCCTACTGATTCATCGTCCCACCCGCACAGGCGGTGGAGGCGCTGGGCTACAAAACACCCACACCGATCCAGGTGCGGCAGCCGGGATCGGTTGGATGCAGTCGGTTAAAGCGGTTGGTAACGCCTGGCGGGGGTCCCCCTTACCGTGCGTCGACATCAGGTGGCTGTACACGCCCCGGACAACCCGCCAGTCCCCCTTGTGTACAGCTTCTCCCACACACACATACACGGCCCCTGTTCTGCCCGTCTTCCTTCCCGCCTGGACTATCCCTCCCCTCCATGACCCCACACCTCCCGAGAGTACCCGTCTGCTCCTGGTATCTGCCTCAGTGCTCTGTGGTTCGTCTCACCCTCCGCGCCCTGACAGCACCCCGTACCGCATCTGGGGCCATCTGGGGGAGCATGCACGTCCTGAGTGTTTGTTGAGCCGTCAGCCCATCCGTCCTGGCTGCCTGCCTTCGTTTCCGCATCCACTCATTCCCCCCTCCCGCGACCCATCCCGTGTCCATCTCGCACGCATGCATCTCATACACATTGCCCCTCCACATGCAATGTCTTGCACACACACACACACACACGCCCGCAGGTTGTCAGTTGTTTCTTGCTTCTTGCATGTGATTTCCCTCCTCCCTTTCCAACCCCCCAACCCACCCCCTAGGCCGCCTGCATTCCCCTCGCCCTGGCGGGTCGGGACATCTGCGGCAGCGCCGTCACGGGTAGCGGCAAGACCGCCGCCTTCGCCCTGCCCTTCCTGGAGCGACTGCTACACAGGCCGCGGGGTCTGGCCGCCACCTATGTGCTGGTGCTCACACCCACTCGGGAGCTGGCAGTGCAGGTAAGGGAATGAAGCTGCTGCCAGGGCAAGAGTGTACCAGACGTGGAACTGACCGAAAGGCGTCCGTGAAGGCGGCGACCTCGGGATGGCGTGGTGAAGATGATGTCGGAAAAAAAACTACCTACCTAGCCGCCAGGACTAAAAAAAGCAGGAAAAGCAGTAATGCCAAGCCGTAAAGAAGTAGGTGTAGGAAAGTAGGTGTAGAGGCGGCGGAGAAGTAGTAAAGAACTGCTGTTGTAAAGCTGGAATAAAGTTTGCTGCTGGCCTGTAGAACTGGCTGATTTGCTGGTACTGAAAGTGCTCCTCCTGGCAAGGGGGGAGAGGTGCGTTAGGACTCAGGGGGGGAGGTTCCGTTCTAGATCTGTGGAAGTTGGTACTTGGTGTTTACTTGGTTTCGGCGCGTGAGAGCGCTGTAATTTGAAAGGAAGGCATTTGCGTGCCTAGTGGTGGTGGTGGTGGTGGTGGTAGAGGTGATGGAGGGTGGCAAACTCGTAAGGCACCACACGACCAATGGCGCACCATCAATCTTTCCTCTCCCTCCCTCCGCGATTTTCATTTCCCCCTCCCGCCCTCCCGCCCTCCCTCCCCCTTTCACCTGATACTCAACTCCTCCCCCCCCGGGGCCAGATCCACTCCATGATTGAGAAGCTGGCCCAGTTCACGGATGTCACGGTAGCGCTCATTGTGGGCGGACTCAGTCTGTCCGTGCAGGCGGCCACTCTCAGGAAGCTGCCCGAGGTGCGACTGCCGGGGAACAACCCGAGGGGGGAGAGGGGCTGGGGGGAAAGGGAAAGGAGGGAGGGGGGAAAGGGAAAGGAGGGCGGGAAAGGGAAATGCAGAGGGATTGTTCGTGCGGGAAGGGGGGCTGGGGGGGGAGATGTACTCTTTTGTTTGTACTTCTGTCACTTGCAGCGGCGGCTGCCACCTGTAGCTTAGGCCCATGAGCCCAACGGGAGAGGGCTCTGGGGGTTTCGGAGCGGAGTCTGTACGACAAGAGGTTGTGGAGGGCATTGAGTCCGTGAAATCTACCAGCAGCTGCCGCAGTATGGGCAGCAATACATGATCACCACCGCTAGCAGCAGCAGCATACAGCGGTGACAGGCAGTTGTGTGTCTCGCTGCCTAGCTGGGGGAGATGAAGGCTGAGGGAAAAGGGAAGGGAAAGGGAGGGGAAGGGCGAGCGGGAGGCGGAGGGGAGGAGGGGAGGGGGGTTCATCTGCAGTTGCCAGCGGGTGGGAACTACGTAATGCACGACGGCATGAGGGCCTGGCTAAAACTAGTTAGTTGGAAGAAGCATGGCGGGTGGGTGGGTGTGCCATTAAACTCAGCCGCGTGATTATGCACACGTATGTCTGTATGTGCGTACGTTTGTGCGTATAATTCTGCACTTCCGTACAGGTAGTGGTTGCTACTCCGGGCCGGCTTATCGACCACCTCCGTAACAGTCAGAGTGTGGGGTTGGAGGACCTGGCGGTTCTGGTACTGGACGAAGCGGACAGGTGTGTTTTGCGGCCTAGGGGGGAGGGAAGTGGGAGGAGGTGGAGGAGGAGGGAGAGGAGGAGAGAGCGCAAGGGGAGCGCCTCCCTCGCCTCCCCTCCCCTCCAGACCGGGGGCCAAGTGCCCACGAGGGCTTTTGTTTGAGAGTGGGTCGGGGTGGGTTTCCCTAGGGGTACAGACTCCCGCTCTCCCCCCGGCGGGTGATGAATTGGACGACAGTCAATTACCAGGGTAATGATGTTTGCATCCCTGTACTAAGCCACCCCCCCACACACACACATGTCTTCTCTCCCCCGCTATCCATCCCTTTCTGCTGGCCGCTGTTGTGTAATGTCCTATCAGGCTGTTGGAGATGGGTTTCCGCGACGAGGTGATGGAGGTGGTTCGGTGCGCCCCCAAGAAGCGGCAGACCATGCTGTTCTCAGCCACGTTCTCAGACCAGGTGGGTAGGTGGTGGATGTGGGTGTCTATCGGGTTATTGTGCTGGGAGGCGGGGAGGACGGGGAGGGAGGTTGGAAAGGGGTTAAGTTGAGGAAGGGTTGTGTCGAAGTTTTTGTTTGGTCTGTCTGTCTGCCTGCCTGCCTGGTCTGTTTGTCTGTCTGTTCAGTAGAGTTAAACAGTGTCGATGTCCTTTTGCTTTGTATTGTCGTTTTACGTGAACTGCTAGCGCAGGCACATGTGTTTAAATGTATGTATGATGTGTGAAACAGGGGGGTGTATCTTCGCCCGTGGCAGCTACCCTGCGAAACCCTGCCTTCCCCGGTATTTCGGGGCACCCTCATCCAGTCACCCTAGTCAACTTCTCAGTGGATCGCTCAGGTTCCGCACCCACCACCAGCATCCAACGGAATCTGCCGGGTCGACAGCGGCCCAACTCCGTTCCTTGTCGGCTCGCAGGTTAACTTTATCGCAGGTCACCACGGTCCATCAACTAGGGGCGCAATGCCTTCCACCATCGGAAGGACTTTGACCCTAATGGGTATCGATCCCGGGATCTCCCGGGGGCAATGGTCGCGCCTTACCAGTAGTGCCAAACCCTATACGTATGTATGTATGTATCCCTTGTTCAGGTACGGGACCTGGTGTCGTTGTCCCTCAAGCAACCCGTGAGACTGGCGGCGGATGCGGCCAGAGCGGCACCCAAGCTGCTCACACAGGAGGTACGGACGGACTGGTACGGCGGGGGGGAGGCGGGGGGGCGACCTAACCAGGGGGCGGCCGACGGACCTCTCTCCTGCTCTCACCCGCAACCTCACTCTCTCGCCCTGCCGGCTCTCCGGGGCCGTCCACCCCGCATTGCCACCAACCTAACTAACCACTAACTACCAACCGCCGTTGGCCCGCTAGATCGTGCGGCTCAAGGGCCCCGCTGCCGCCGCCACCAAGGAGGCCGTGTGTGTGGCGCTGTGCAGCCGGTCCTTCTCCTCGGGGCGCACCATTGTGTTCTGCTCCACCAAGCAGAGGGCGCACCGCCTCAAAATACTGTTCGGACTGGCCAAGCTGCCGCCCGCGGGTAGGGGAACAGCAGGAACAGCGAGGGGGGAGAAGAGGAGGAGGAGGAACAGGAGGAGGGAGAGGGGGAGGGGGACTGGGCGAGAGAAAGGGGGAAAGGCAAGGGTGGGCTCTGGGTAGAGCCTGTGTCGCAAAGCTTTTGCGTTTTCATGGCGGTCTGTTTGTCTCCTCCCCCCCCCCCACACACACGCACATAAATATAGTCGGTCGCGCCTTCCGTTCTCGTTATGAGTTGGTATGTCATTGCTGCTCCGGAACCCCCCCGGGGCTCTCGCGCGGTTTTCTTTAACCCGCCTCGCCACAGGGTCCCCACTCGCCCCTACTGCGTTCCTTCCCTGTGCCTCCCTCCCTCGCTCGCTTTCATGACCAGCCGAGCTGCATGGCAATATGAGTCAGACTGCCCGGCTGGAGTCCCTGGAGTCATTCCGGCGCGGGGACACCGCCTACCTGCTCGCTACCGATGTTGCGGCCCGAGGTCTGGACATACAGGGGGTGGAGGTGAGGGGGAGGAGGGGGCTGGCTTGGACTAGTACGGTATTATGGCGCAAATGAATGCACTCGGACGGCTTGACAGGTCTTGCTGCCTTGTTGGCGTCGACACATGTGGATACGATACACTTGGAGAACCCACAACCCGCACAGGGCCCCCAGAGTCAAAAGAGACGCGGTGGTTGTGTTCAGAAGGGGGGACCCATCGCCGCCTTCCCAATCATAGTGACGAAACAATGGTATAGAGCTGGTATAAGTTCTGGGACTATGAGCAACAATATCTCTACCGCGGATGTTTTTTTACATGTGCGGTTTCGAAGGGGCAAATCAGGTTTCCACGTCTCCCACCCTCTCCTGCATGCTCAGCCCTTTCTACTGCTCACCCATCCCGCTATCCCCTATTGGGCCCCCATCCGACCAGGTGGTGGTCAATTACGACGCACCGCGCAAGCTGGAGACCTACTTGCACAGAATAGGCCGCACAGCGCGAGCTGGGGCCGCGGGAGTGGCGGTCACCCTGGTAGAGGACGGAGACAGACCGCTGCTCAAGGAACTGACCCGCCGGGTCGGTGTGGGGGCCGCCGCCGCGGGGAGCAAGACTGGCAACAAGGGCGCTGGTGGTGGTGGTGGTGGTGGCGTTACGTTGCGGCAGCGGCTTGTTCCCCCGCAGGCGGTTGCCCAGTGGCAGGGGCGAATTGAAAGGATGGAGGTATGTGACTGACTGTTTGTGAGTGCCTGGCCGCCCGGGGGTTTGATGGCGGTACCCCGGAGGGCGTGGGGGCCGCCATCCTTCAGCTTTAGCAGGAGGCGTCTGGAATTGTAGGGTTCATACGGGTGCTTGTGTGCCTGTGTGCCATGCGATACCGTGGTGTAGCGCTTGACGAAGAGTCGGCGTAGATGCGGGGTGGCTATTGGCGGGTATGACACCTCGCCCGGCTTGCATGTCCTTGATGTCCCCCCTGCTCACGCCCTGCTCTCCCCTTCGCAGTCTGATGTTGCGGCCATCCTGGCGGAGGAGCGGCAGGAGGCGGATTTGCGGAAGGCGGAGATGGAGGCCAACAAGGTGAGGGAGGTGGAGTGAAGTGAAGTGAAGCAAGGCTTTCCTACGGGCGGCGCGAGTAGTACATGAGGATTATTGCTCATTAAGGGCGAGCGATCGACACACACATGGCATATACCTCCGCAATGTGGGAGGACTCAGTACGCTGTGGGGCCCCTAGGGGCGCTTGCCACGTCTCCTACAAACATGCATGAGGATGGTGGCGAATGCATACCGCCCTTGTCGACACACTATATTAGACGGCGGATAAGTTTGGGCAAAGATGGATCTTTCCTTCCTTGCCCGACGATCCCCCCCCTTGCCAACGAGGGGGGTCACCTTTAGGTGATATGTATACCTTTTATTGTGTTTGTGGCCATTTTGCTTCTCCACGAACCCCCTTCCCTCCCACTCAGGCTTCCAACATGTTGGAGCATGAGGAGGAAATTATGGCCCGACCCAAGCGCACTTGGTTCGTGAGCGACCGGCAGAAGAAGGAACTGAAGAAGCGAACCGCGGCGGCGGCGGCCTCCGGGGGACATGACATGGAGGAGGACGGCGACGATGACGGCGGTGACGACGGCGCGGCAGCGGGCAAGGTGCGGTTGCAACGGCACTGCCCGCACTACCCGGCTGGGGTCCCGATCGTGGCAGCGAATGAAAGATATGAGGGAGGGGCTTTCTTCACGGCACCCCACAGCCACTGCCTTCTTTGTTATGTCATGTCGTTCGCTCGGTCACGGGCATTTGCCCGCAGGTTTTTCCTTAATGAGCAGCGGGATGGCCATGATCAAATGTCCACCGGATACTGCCTACTGGTCTTTTGGCCTGCTGTTCTTGTCCCCACTGTAAGGAAAGGCACACGCAGCCGCATGCAGCACCTCCTCTTCCGCGACCACATTGATGCAACCTGGTCTTGATGGGTAGGGCCCGAGCAGAGTCCAACGACCCTCCTGGCACCGGAAAACACCCCCCGTCAACGGGCACACATAATCAAGCTTGCCACCGTGCGCCGGCCTCTAACTTGGGGATCCCCTTTGGGAGTGTATCTTGGCATCTGTGTAGTTTTTCCTTCCCTCAGGTCCCTTCTCCCCCCTCCTCTCCCCCATTCGACGGTCTGCCCAACTGCAGAAGAAGGCCAAGGCGGTCAGCAAGGCGGAGAAGCGAACTGCTCGCAAGGCGGAGGCGGCTAAGGAGGCCAAGGAGAAGGAGGCGGGCAAGCGCAAGAGCGCAAAGGTGAGGGCGGAAAGGCGGGAGGGTGGGTGGAAGCAAGTGCTTTGTTACCGTCGCCGTGATTCAGCCTGTAGTGTCTTTGCCCGTGGCCCATTCTTACCTGGAGTAGTGTTCAGCTGCTCGTGTCTCACCAGGATTGGTTTCTTTCCCTCTTCCCTTTTCCCATCTTGGTAACTTTACCCTGCCCTTGTCCTTATCCTCAGGACGCTGAGCTGGAAGCCAACAAGCCCAAGGTGCGCTCCATCAAGACCCTAGCTCGGGAGCTGCAGCAGCAACACGGCCTCACTTCAACGAAGGCGGCCAAGATGGCGGCTCAGCAAATCACTGGTAGGTGCTCGTGGACTGAACAACTGATGGTGCCCTTTGCTAGCTGGCTGGCTGGCTGGGTACGGGTTCACAATTCTGGGCTGTGGATTACGTTTGCTTTGGAGCAATAATTGAGTGGGGTTAATGCGATCCGGATCCGGGCCCGGACTGGTTCGCATTGCCGGGTCTCCGGCTACCACCAAGGCTTCCTGGACGCGTACGTCGTTGCCATTGCCGTTGCCGTTCGTGCTGTTCGCTGCTGTGGCGAATCTGTCTTCTCCTGTCCGTACGCAGGTCTGAAATCAGGGAGCAAGAAGTCGAAGAACAAGAACAAGAAACAAAAGACCGGTGATGGCGATGGCGGAAATGGAGGCGATGGTGGGCTTTTCTCCGGCGATGGCCTCAACACCGCGCGGCCCGGCAAGCTGTCCGTGAGCACGGCAAGTCCAGGTGGCGACGGCGGAATGAAGTCCATTGGTCGCTTTGGCGGTAAGCTCAAGTCGCAGCTGAGTCGCACGGAGCTGAACAAGCTGCGCCGTGGCGGCAAGGGCAAGAGCTCCTTCAAGAGCAAATCGCGATTCAAGCGGCGCTGATCCTTCTTGATGAGGTTGCCTGTGTTTGGTAACGGTGTGGGAGTCTTCCTGCTTGCTCTTAGCGCTTGAAAGGGTGGCTGGGCCCTTGGCAGGTGCTACCAGACTGTGGCAGCTGGCGGGGAGAGGCAGGAGGGGCTGCGCCAGGTCAGGTGGAGGTGGACATGGACTTATCTTGTTAAGCCGCGAAATTTGTGTGCACCCACCCGGTCTAACGTGTTGCATCGTTTTTGTATGCCTCCAGCATGGGGTGATATGGGGTTTGGGGGGAAGAGTAATGTGAGGGGAGGCCCACGGTGAGAGGATTAGACCTGCCGTAGCACTACCTGGCTCTTTGCGATTAGTTCTTCACAATGAAGTGGGATATTGGTACAGAGCTTTGGTCTGGCCGAGAAGAGGCTATTTCGCTGTGAAGCTGTTTGGGAGCTGCATTCGTGTCCGAGCAGTCCGACACAGTGTGTTCCGTAACGAGCTGATGGATGATCAGAGACCTGCTGAGCTTTCCGGTGGCTGCCACGGCACGAGTGGTTATATGATATCGTGCAAGGCAATCCAGGATGGTTTCGGTATAGGCAGTTAGGCGGGGGACAGGAGGTGCAATGTCCCGGTTGTGGAGGCGAAGCTCTCAGCGGCTTGCTTTGGGGGATTGGAGTTGTACAGCTTGCACATCGCAAGAGGCCGGAACATGTACAACGGTGCGGTACAGTGCGGAACACTGGATGAGTAATTTATTAAGCCGGACAGGCATTGCGCTGGACACTCCGAACGACCGGGCAGACAGCCTCTGCATCCAGGCGCTATGGGGAGTATGCGCTGTGATCCGGGAATTTGGTGAAGTTTGAGAGGGATTGTCGGTAAACTTGATGGCTGTTCTTGTATCCGGTTAGCGGTGTGGAACGCTACATCTGATGCCCTCGATCAACATCCAGCATTCGTTTAAGTGAAAACTTACAGGGTTCATTTAGGCTGGCTTTTAAACAGGTCCCCCTGCTGCGGGCATCTTAGCCCGAGAGAATAAGCTGCCGCAAGCGCCTCAATTGTGATCCTATCCGTGGTGGCAATGCCGCACGCCGCCACGCCTGTTCCTTAACCAAAGCCTCGACTCACCCTGGGGGCTGTTCTGCCGACCCGGATGGTGCACCCACACATACTAGGCAACCAGCACGCAGGATGCAAGAAGTCCTTGATTACACGAGGAATATGCAGTTACACCGGCGCACCCCGTCCTCTGCAAAACTGGTTTACGTCCGCCCAAACCACCAGGTTGGCGCACTCACACCTTCCAACAGCTAATTTAGCCGGTCCCCTCGGCTCCCTATCGCCGACGCCATACCCCATCAGCAAATCGCCCAAACAGAACCGCTTCCAGCCGGCTCCCCTAAGCAGCCCGGCACACCTGCGACACCACTCACGCTGCCGGCAGCGCCAGGGGACCCCGCTCCCCACCCATCCCCGGGCCCCATCTGTTTGCACAGCTCGGCTTTTGAGCGGTGCATTGGAGCGATCCCAGAGAGCCAGGCTTACGAGCTGGTGGGCTTGGGCATACCCTTGGCATCCACAACGTCTGCAAGGAAAAAGCAAAAAGGATACTGTTATGAGATTTTATTTAAAAAAGCAGCCTAGCATACAGCCGGGATACACGTGCAAAGACCCCTCGCCGACAGGAGTCGATCAACCTAGAGTTTCGAATGCCACTTACTTGAGGCGCCCTGCTTGCCATCTGCAATCGGCGAAGAACGGAAGTATACGGTCTCACGTTGGAGCGCCTTGCTCTTAAATGGCTCCTTCATCACAGCCCGGAGGTAGTCCGCGCATAGGTTGGCGTACCGCACGTAGGACATGCCCGCTACCCGGTAAAATGGTCCGCTAGGAGGGCACATTTCTCCCAAGGCCTACGGTAAACGGTGTCGGAGAATGTGCCTACGCGGAATGCACGCGCCACGACCACGAGTGCAACTTGCAACGACACAGTTACCCAAAGCAAACACAACATGTTAACTGATTCTTTAGGTCAGGGGCAAAAATGAATTTGTACGGCATCGTCCAAAGTTACTAGTAGAGACTTATTGTGCGACGCTTCTTTACGGTTGTTCAGGTTGCTTGAGAGCGGAGCTTCATCGCACAACCAGCGCATATGATTTCGTGAGTTTTGGTATGAAACTGCTGAGTGATGACCATTGAGTCTCATTACCGTTTCGAGAGGACCATATTTCGTTGAATTGTCCGCCGATTTTGGTTTACCAAAGATAGCCTAGCCCGATAAGTTCACCACCAGTCCCTATTCTAGGGTACCGCAGACCCGAAGCGTTGTTTTGGCTCCGGGACCACCGGCCGTACCAGAAGGACCTCGGAACGCCCTGTCGACTTATTGGTGCATTGCTCTCTTTATGTCATATGGAGGAGTCAAGCCTAAGGTACAGGATGTACGCGCTCTAAGTGCTGGTGTGCGACTCGACGATTTGAGACTTAACACCGGGGGGCTTTCTTGCTGGATACTCCCGGGCACGTGTTCATACTTGCGCTCCCCAACCTTGGCTGATCGCATGTTTTTGTCGGCTAAGTTGCAAGAGACGGAGGCAATCTGAGCATCTAAGGCTGGTTCTGTGCGGCGTTTGTGCTGCTGTCGTACAATTCTGGATCCTTCGGTCGGCATCCGAGCTTCTAGGGTGCCTTTCATTTAGGCGAGGTGACACTTAGCCTCTGCTAGTTTATCCAACCACCCACGACTCCGAGCCTTGTCGACGTTCGCCGTGTTTATTCTCTCCTGCTTGCTTTTTCGCCCATCTTAATCTCGGCTCAGACGGCTCGGCCCCGGGACGGGCGCCGGCGCAAGGCCAAGGCGACCTATGGACAGGCCGAGGCCGCGGCAGTTGCACACTGCCGGGAGCTTACAGCTTTAGAGGGGATGCGGCCGGAGAGAAGGCAGCAAGGAAGTATTGTGGCTTGCTAGGAGTACGGTATGAAGTTAATCTGACCAGGCAGGTGGTCAGACAAGGCCAGGGTCTGCTGCCCTTCGGCTTGCTGCGATTCGATTCCACTTCGGTGTTCATATCCAATTCCATCCTGACAATACCCACAGCTTTTGGCTTGTGTGTCTGGTTCGTCTCCACGTGCTTTTGGGCGCCTGTGTTCTATGCCGCCTGTACTTTAGGATAAGGCCAGTTGGATCCTGGCCAAAGGAGACAACACATCAGCCGATATAACTTGTAATGAGTTCTGGGAAACGATTGTGTAGTCACCCGAAGCGCTGTAATCTGATTATTCACACGAGGGTTGAGCACGAATTTCAGAATCTTCAAACGCCAAATGCTGCAAAATGCTTAACAAGTCCTGTTTGGAACCATGCAATATTCTTCTGTCCGGTTATACTCAGCGTGGTTGCAACTGGTGTCTTATACGCCGTGCATTCTGCATCTAACAGTTACCAGTTCCAACACTCTGCCATTCTTACTAAACCACCCACTAACATCACTCTACATTTTCTACCCCACTGCTGTTCACAAGTGGCGTCGGGTTACACGGAACTCCATGGCTGCTTAGGGAGCTGCACAACCCTGGGCGTGACATACGGAGGGACATGGCAATTGAGCCCGAAGGAGGCAGTTACAACCACGGACTGATGGCCGCTGCAAGCACGCGCTTACTCCACAGTCTTGATGATGTCCGAGTCACCTGTAGACGTACAAACCAAAAGAAAAACACTTGAGCATTTCGCATCAATAAGATTTGTCCAAGGCCGTACCGACTTCAGCAAAGCACGTTTGTCCCGCAGCGGACCAGTCGTCTGAATTACGTGAGCTCATCTTTGGCCACAAAAACGTCGGGGAATCCAAGATGCCCAAACTGCAATACAGAAGATAACCAGCAGAGGACCCAAATGGACCACCCACCAGGGTCCGTGATGGCGAGCACGCTGACACGGTAGTACTTGCCGCAGGCGGTACCCAGGTCAACGTTGTCTGCAAGACGGGCCCATTAGGATACGTCATGAAAATGGATACAGGCAAAGGACACCCCATCAGGGACAAATCCAAGTTACAATCCCATTCGAGCGTCACTGCCGTGCCCCTCCCATCCATCCGGAAACAACCCCGAGTAAACCTCTCCCCCCAGGATGCTCGAATCCACCAGCAAGACTTACTGCCGCTGTAGTGGTGCACGCCCGTCTTGGCAAGCATAGCGTAGTACTCCACCTCGCTCTTGCGGACCGCCGGGCAGTTGTTGCAGATAATAACCAGCTTGGCTGCACGGTTGCAAATTGCGCGAGTGTGTGTTGCAAGCGCACATGACATTACAGACCGGCAGCCGCCGCCGGTGAAGTTGGCTCCAAACCAACTTACCCTTGCCAGAGCGCAGAGTCTTCAGGCAGGTCTTGTAGCCCAGAGTGTACTTGCCACTCTTCATCACCAGCGCGAGACGCGCGTTGATGTTCTCCTGGGTCTTCTTCTGCGGTCGCCAAGCACGACTGAGATTAAATACAAAGCTCCACCTTTCCTGCCAGACTGTTGCTGGAGACTATAAGCTGCTAATACCTAGGGAACCTAGCTAAACGCACCGTCTTCTTAGTAGCTGGGGCCATTTTTCCTTGTGTCACGCCTCCTTCTCAGCCTGGACATATAAGATGCAAGGTCCCAGCCGTCAGTTTGCGGCACCTAGAAGCTGGCTAACCAACGGGAGCGAAGCACAGCAGCCTAAGCCGCCATACATCGCCCCGCGTGGTACTATTTAAAGACTACATTCTTGCTACTGGGACCGACCTCCAGGCTCCAGAGGACTATACACGAAGCGGGAAAAGGAAGAAGAATGCAGCATTGCAAGACAACATCAAAATGCGGTTGGCCAGGTGGGCCCAACGTCTGAACTTCCAAACCCATCCGACGAATGATTTCCTCAACGTGATAATGTCACTAACTTCAAAACTGGGGCTTCATTACGGCATGCTTCATGGACATTGTTATTACCAGAATGTGCGAATCCTGACTTCGAAAGCTTGCATTTTAAAACTTGTCAATTATTTTTAATCACATAACATTAATAATAAGTTCCATATTTAATGTGATTCTACATCATAGCTCGCGTTTGCTGTGACATGTCCGAGTGAATTAGAGGAACGCGGTGCACGAACGTTGCCTTTTGGGATTAAAGAACCTCGGACGGACGAAAAGGTGCTGCATAAATGGCGCAGCCCGAAACTCTTTACCAGGTGCTGTCGCAGCCCGTGGATGCAAGTCGCGTCAAGCAGCTCCAGACCGTTCATGAGGCAATCAAGGCCAGCCTCGCCGGTCAGCAGCCGGGTTCACGCGTGGGACTGGAGACGCTGGTCGTGTGCGCGGAAGCGGCACTCAAGGTGGGCTGGGTGCCTCAAGGCGCAGAGAACGGGTATCCACTCCGCAGGTGGCACTCCCGCTCCCATCCCAAAAAAGAGATGCGCCGTGTGCAATAGCACACATAATAGAGCTGAGACAGCTGACTGCCTTTATGGAATGACACATCACACGAGCCTCCTAGCAGTACAGTGCAGTTCTAAATTCCGAAAAGGCATCAGGGCATCGGTACTTAAGATTACCTAGCGACGAAGTGGACTGCACGGATGCTCTCCAGGGCTCTGTGGGCGATACAGAGCATGATCCCCATGCGTCATTCCATTCTTAGTCCCTTACCTGCGCAGCTGCATGCAAGGGGGGACCACCGAACTCTGCAAAAGCTCGGGAAATGCACAGGTCCCCCAAATCGCCTTTGCGGTACCACAGTATGCCCTGCATGGACGCACACTGGCCCGCACAAGCCACTTTCTTCCCCTCCTCCAGCTCCCCGGTCTAGGCCCTGAAACTAGGCGGCCCCGTCTGCGGGCACATGCACTACTCTCACACTACCTGCTTCGGTGAAGTCGCTGCTGTTCTGTGTGTGTGTGTGTGTGTATATCCTGTATCCTCCTCGCCAATTCCTAAGCTGTGCCTCAGATCAATAAAGGCGACGCACACACACATACATACATACACTTGCACACATACAACACACATACATACATGTGGCCACCACGGCTCAGATTGACTAAAAACACACACTGGCACATGCACACATACGCACACCCGCACACGGGCCCTCTGCGCGCGGCCCGTGTTGCCCTTATTGACGGCTGTCGTCCTGCGCGGTCCCGCAGGTGGGGAGTCTGGACATAGCGCAGGACTGCCTGGAGAGGTATTTCCTAGAGCAGCGCAGGTGGGCCGCTGCGAACACAGGGTGAACGCGGTAGGAAAGCGGCGTTGGGTGGAGAGTATTCAGCATCATTACCATCATCAGCACTATCACCATCACCACCATCATCGTCATCACCATCACAGTCACCACCACCATCACCACCACCATCATCATCATCGCCATCATCACCATCACCATCACCACCACCGTCATCATCATCATCATCATCACCATCGTCCCCCCTACGCTCTTCACATGGCGCAGCGAACCCTCGAACTCCACCACAGAGTGTATGGAACCCACACCCTGCGTCTGGATGTGGGTGCGGCAGCAACCCCCTGCCCTCAACGGAACCCAAACCCCTCTGTGTGCGCTCCCCGCTGGCCTCCTCCGCTTCCCCCACACCCATGCAAACCCCTACCCACCCATCCACGTCTCCGCCAGCCTATATCCCACCCCTTCCTAACCCCTCCCCCGCTGTGCCCCTGTCGCGATCAGGTACGGAGTCAACATGGCCCCTGTGGAAGTTCGGGACCAGTATTTGTGTCGGGCGCACTTTGCCCGGGGACTGCTGGTCTCGGAGCGGTCCAAAGGACTCAAGGTGGGGCTGTGGGGTCGAGAGCGGCGATGGGTCGAGGGCTAGGTCGAGGGCGGAGATGGGGAAGAGCGACTGAGCTGGAGGCTGGGGAACGATGTTTTAATGAAACTGAGCCGCAAGAAGAAAGTGTTGGATATGTTACTGTGTGCGGAAACAGTGTGTGCGGTGGGGTGTTGTGGGGTGGGGTGCGGTGGGGTGGGGTGGGATGGGGTGCGGTGTGGGGATTGTCTGTCCCCAAATTTCCCCTCCACGGACTCTGAATTTCCGTGCAGGGTCGTGCCCTGATTGACGGCACACTGGAGTCAATATCACACGTAATGGCGGGGCTGGATGTGGCAGCGGCCAACGTCAGGTGCGCGGGGTGAGGTCCGGGTTAGCCAGAGGCGATTGGCTGGACGCATGGATTGGCAGTGGTTAGATCTCCGCGGGAGCGGAGCTTAGGGCAATCATCACAACAACCCCCAATCGCCTCCCCCCACTTCACATCTCTACACTCCCGCGGCCGGACCGTTGTCCCCCCGCGTTCGCACCGGCAGGTACCAGTTCCTCGTGTACAATGCCAGTGTGCACCACTGGCGGGTGGCAGCGCCCCTGCACCGGGACGGATTGAGGACCCACCTGCTGCCCTCCACGGAGAAGGTGGTGCAGGTGAGGACGGAAAGGGGGACCAAGAGGGGCCAAGAGGGAACCCCGTGTTCCAGGGACGCAGATATGGTCGTGTCGTATCCATAGCTGGGAGGGAGGGAGGGAGGGAGGGGGAGGACGGGCCTAAAGCGGAGTCGTTTTCTCACGCAGAGGGTGCTTATGCTGCACGGCGCAGTTCCTTGCTGACCAGTGTGCTGACCGGGTAAACAGCCGCCGACTGCCGCGCCACCACCACCACCACCACCATGACACCACCGCGACACCACTGCCTTGACCACAACCATGATTACCACCACCACCTCCACCACCATCATATAAACCGACCGCCGGCCCGGCCCTGGCTCACAGAGCCTTCCTAAACTTCCCATCCTGAGGCCGTCTCCCACCCACCCCTGCCCTCCCACTTGCCTATCCTCCCCACCCCTGCAGGCCCTGGACAAGGTCCCCGGTCACGAGGAGTGGAAGGTGCGCTGCTACACAGCCTTGGCGCTGTGTCAGGCGGATGCGGCCATGGCGCCCCCCGGGGGCCAAACACCAGGTTCCGCCACCACTGGAGCTGGAGGGGGGGCCGGCGGCAAGGCCGGTAGCGGCGGACCCAGCTTTGACGAGGCCGCCAAGACGCTACAGCGGGCGTACGACACGGCTGGGGCAGCCAAGTTGGTCCAGCTACAGCGGGACGTAGCACGGTTGCAGGTAGGCGGCAGTAGCGAGGAGCAGTAGCGATGTTAGATGGTGTAGAGGCGACTGGTAGAGGTGGGTGAGGAGCGCACGCGGGATACGGTGACAGGGTGGTTGGTACCAGGGTTCGACACTGACCTTCCTGAAACTTGCGGGCTCCCCCGTACCTCCCAAATTTTCCTTACGGAGGGGCCCCCGTACCAGGCTCCTGTACCGGCCGAAAACCTTACGGGGGCCCCCGTAACCCCCGCAAAACCTTTACGAGGGCACAGTCCTTGGCTGAAACGCTGTGGAAAGTGACGCTTTGCATTATTTTGCCCTGCCCTATTACACTCGGGGACACGGCACACTCAGCGAAAGCCAAGCGCCTTGGCCGCCGCGGCCGCCCATCCCTTCTGCTCCTCTTTCTCGTCCTCCTCATCCTCCTCATCATCAAAATCCTCATCCACGCACGACTCATCGGTATCTCGTTCTACGTCGGTTTCGTAGTCACTGTCACTAAAAGCCTCATCGTCACTAGCGGGGTATGTTGCTTGTACCAGTACTTCAATCTCTTGTGGGACTGCGCCTTTCGGAGGGCACATAGATAGACAGACTAACACACAGATGTACAGGCAGACACACAGACGCACAGACAGACAGACAGACAGACAGGGACATCGTCTGTACAGCGGATCGGTGCCCTGTCCTGTCCCGCCACGACTTCATCGCGTGCCTGTGTCTTTAAAGCTTATCCCGTCTAGCTGGTGGCAAAACCCACTTCCCTTATTCCGGTGGTCCGTGTGTATATGTAAGCGTGTATGTATATGTGTGTGCCGTAGGTCCATCTGACAACGCAGGCGTACGGCAGTGCCGCCGCCGGTGGCAAGGGTGCCAAGGCCGCGCCTGCCGCCGCCGCCGGAGCTAAGCCCGGCGCCCGCGCCTCCAAGGCCGTTGCGGCCCAGCAGCCTGTGCTGGACGAGGAGGGGGCATTGCGGCTGATCCAGGGAGTGCTCACCGGGCGGTGAGGGGGGGGGACCATGATATCCGTGAACCAATTCAGGGCCGTATGAGCGTCGAAACCCTGCTTGACCCCACACCCCACATACCCCACACACCATACACGTGCCAGGCCGGTTAAGCCCTGTGGGACCATGCGGCGCCGGCTTTATCCTAATCCGGCTAACTCCACCTACCCCCCTTTCCACATTCCTCATGGAGTCCCCACTTCTCCGTAGTCGTCCTGACCTCCTGACATACTCCACACTCCCCTCGGCCCCGCATCCCTTTCACCTTTTTCCTCAGCCCTGATCGCGCCATAGCCGAGCAGCAGCTCAAGGAAGCGGTCGCGAAAGTGGACCCCCACGGCCCGGACGGGCGAGTGAAGGGCGCCATGCTGCGGCCCGTGTCGCGGGCTGCCTGGGCGGCATCGGTGGCGGGGCTCCCGGAGCTGGCTGAGAAGTGGGCCTCGCGTGCGGCTGCCTCCTCTGACAGCGGCCCCCGGGCCTGGTCCGACCTCACGAGGGTGCTGCTAGCGCTGCAGGTTAGGGGGTGGGAGTGGGGGTAGGTAGGTGGAGTGGGGGCTAGGTAGGTGGAGTGGGGGCTAGGTAGGTGGAGTGGGGGCTAGGTAGGTGGAGTGGGGGTAGGTAGGTGGAGTGGGGGCTAGGTAGGTGGAGTGGGGGCTAGGTAGGTGGAGTGGGGGCTAGGTAGGTGGAGTGGGGGCTAGGTAGATGGAGTGGGGGCTAGGTAGGTGGAGTGGGGGCTAGGTAGGTGGAGTGGGGGCTAGGTAGATGGAGTGGGGGCTAGGTAGGTGGAGTGGGGGCTAGGTAGGTGGAGTGGGGGGTAGGTAGATGGAGTGGGAGGTAGGTAGATGGGGCAAACGAACCCAGACCCAGATGTGGATGAGAGGTCAGGTGTGCGAATGCAATGTAGTTCTTGGTTTCTTTAGTATGGGGGGTTCTCTTGGGAGGTGGGATGGAGGGGGTATGGTAGTGACAGGATAGCGGACGGTTAGGCGCGGAACGAGTAGGTGCTGCTTGGCGGCGGGGTGAACTGGCGTCGTGGGACAAGAGGCCTCGACGAAGTAAACGAATGCTTTCAAAGCGGTTTAAAAGCTGCCTAAACTAAAGGGAGTTATGTTTGCAAGTGTAAGATCTGGAACCCGAAACCCCTGGTCTGACCTGAAGTGGTTTGACCTGTTTTGATGTAAAACAGCGGCACACAGAGCTGGTAGGGGGATAGGATCACCCTTGCAAGTCCAGTGTGGGCGTAGATGTGTGTGGAGATGGAGAATCGTGTGCCGGAATCAGGTGTTTCTCCCCCCACCAATTCCTACCTCCCCTGCCACCGCGCACCCTTCCCGGCTCACAGGCTCTGGGCCCCACGGGTGACACCTCCCTCGCACCCGCCGTGGTGGCGGCCCACGTTAAGGCGCTGGAGCAGCTGGAGGTGCGAAGAGGGACAAACGGGGGGGGGAGTGCGGGTGGGGCCTGGAAAGAAAAGGACGGAAGTGGTGGTGGTGGTGATGGTGGTGATGGCTGCTGTGTGGGGTTGTGGGCTAAGGGCATCCTTCCGCAGGCCCCCGGGTCCCATGAACGAACTTCTGACCGAAATTCCTCTACCTAGCCCTACCTTGCCCTACCTCAACTTACCTACAGCTCGCACATGTGCATTTATAACCCCTCTCCCTCCCACAAGCACATTCCCCCAAACCGGGAACCTCTTTTCACACACATACACACACACTCACACACTCACACACTCACACACTCACATACACACACACACACTCACACTCACACCGTACCTGAACCCACCCCAGGATTGCCTGACTACCTTCACCAAGCTCGCGGACGTGGAGGGCATCCACGCCGCCGCGCGTCTGGCCTGGAACGCCGGTCTGCTGCTGCTGCAGCCGCCTCTGCGGCGCCACGTGAAGCGCGCCTTCAACGCGGCGGCCCGCGCCCTGGCGGTGGCTGCCTCCCCGCTCACCCGCCTCAGAGCGGCCTTGCACCTGGAGGCGGCCAAGTGCGATGCGACGGAGGAGGCGCTCATCAAGGTGACAGCGGCATCGCCGACACCTAGGCAGCTAAGCAGGAGAGCCCATCGGACCCATTCCTTACCCCATGCCACCCCTGCCTGCCCCTCACCCCCCAATTTATTTTACCCCGCAGGCCGGTCAGGAGGTCAGCAAGGCGCTATCCCTGGACTACCTGCCCTCACCCGCTGAGGCCGCGGCAGTGCCCTGGCTGCAGCGGCCGCTGGACCGCTGGGCAGTGCCGCTGTCCCGGGCGCTGGCCCTCAGGACCTCGGCAGAGCCAGCCAACCCCGAGGAGGAGGCCGTGGTGAGGAGGAGGAGGAGGAGGAGGAAGAGGAGTTGGGGGTGGTAGCGGGGGGAGGAGTTGGGTGCCGGGGAGGGTAGCGGGGTGTGGCGGGAGGTGGAAGGTGGGGTTGGGGAGGCTGGATGACTGGGAAGGCACGTGCAGTGCTTTCCGCGGTCGAGTGGTTGTTGTTTTTCTGGTGCGGTGCGCGTGTCTTTACTTACTGCAGCATAGCGCGCGCATCCCCCCCCTGCGAATCACGGGCCGCGTTCGCCCTCCTGTTCCATAACCCTGCACTCCAGCGCGGTCTCGGCGGAGTCCCGTTGAAACGAAAACCAGGCAATTAGGCAGGGGAAACTGCGGTATCGTGGTCTATCACCCCTCCCTCCCTATCTGCTCTCCTCGCTACCCTAGCCCTATGTCTTCCCGAACTCCGCCAACATCCCCACCCCCCACTCCCTGCCATCCCAACCCGAACTCCTTTCCACAGTCCCTGATTGAGCGCAGCAAGGAAAGCCGCAATCCAGCCATAAAGATGGATTTGTTGGCCCGGGCCCGGGAGAAGCTCCGAGACCTGCAGCCGCTGCCGCCGCCGGCACCAAACGACCCGCCGGGTGCAGAGCGCTCCGCGGCGCATTCGGCAGCACGGCGGCGGACGTCCGTGTGGGGAGAGCTGGTGCGCTCCGCCGCCGCCAGCCGCATGGACGAGCACGTCCTTGCAGCGGCGCCGTACGCGCTGGCGGCGGCGTGGAGCCCTGTCGTTGACCGGGAGATGGTGCTGCTGCAGGTGCGGGTCGGGGACCTTTCTTGTGTGGCGTTCTGGTCTTTGTGTTTGGATCCGCGGATCCGCGAAATTCGATTCACGAAAAGAAAGCACTGAGAAGAAGACACCCGGCAGTAACACTCTATCGCAGGAAGTAGCTTAGCATTGGGTCTTGTGAGTGTGTGTGTGGGAGGGGGGGGGAGAGGGCCTTCAAGAAGGTAGGTAGCGTTTCTCACCCATGATCCCAGCAGCCGGGCTCCCGCCATTTTCCTCGTCGTTCTCCTCCAACTCACCGTCCACCACGACCCCTCAACCTCCTTGTCGCCACGTACACAATTCCCTTCCCCTTCCATTTCCATTTCCATTTCCACTCTCCACACATACCACCATCTCCCACCTCCCCTCGCCCCCGTATTGATGCGTGTCTTCCTAACACGTAACTCTCTACAAAAAACCCCAAGCCTGGGGGCTTCTGCGGCTTGCCTCTCTAAACCGCTAGTCACCCCGGGGCATCCGCAGCTGGTAATCCGTTGCATGCTTTTACATCCCTCCCGCTCCCACCCCACCACCAGGCCCAACTGAGCTACCTGGAGGCTGAGGCCGCAATCTCGGCCCTCAAGCGCCAACGGTCCGACATGGTGCCCCCCTCCAAGGCCGAGCCGCCCCCGGTGGACGACGAGGGCGTGCGGATGACCCCCGCCAACCCGCGACAGATGAGGGAGCTGGTCATGATGGTGTGTGCATGTGTGTGTGTATGTGCGTGTGTTGGGGGCCCAGCCCCGGTGCTGTCTGCCACGGGTGGACGAGTTTGTGGCGATGATGATACTGGTAGCGGTGTTGGTAATGGTGGTGTTGGTAGTGGTGGTGGTGGTGGTGGTGAGAGCAGATTTGTTGAGAGTCGCCCATTGGTACACCTCGTCGGGTACCTAATATCTATACAACTCAGGCAGCAGCAGACAGGATCGAATTAAGTCGGATCGGGGCCCTTCCTGCCCTGCTCACCACGTGTCTCGCCTCTGCCGCATTCCCTCCATCTTCCCTTCCCCATTCCCGTAATCCCGTCCCCTTCTCCTCCACCACCTTTCCTACCTTCCCTCCCCTTCCGTTTCCTCCTCCCTCCCTTCCGGGAGTTGTTCCGCCCGCCTTGCTCTCTGCCTTCCTCTAAACAAGCAACTGATTTACTGGCCCCTCCTCCCGTTTCCGCCGCGCTCTTTCTTTACAACATTAGGCCACTGTGAGCACCATGCGGTGGGCCGCCTCGGTTTCGGAGCCGTGGCTGACCATCAACGCCGCCGTACAACTGTACAACGCAGCGCTACCGGTCATGCAGCAGCACCGCTACGCGGATCTGTACCGGTGGTTGCGCCCGGTGGCTGAGGCGCTGGTGGCGCTAAAGCCGGCGGACAGCGACGGGCCGCTGGCGGTGGCGGTGGCTGAGGCGTTGGCGAGGGCTGCGGAGCACCGGCTGCTGCTCGCGGCGGCGAAAGCGAAGGCGGCTCGCACGGAGGGTGAGTCGCAAGCTTTGAGCCCTCGCCCTTTTCCTCCAACTATCTCCCGTCTCTCTCTCTCTCTCTCTCTCTCTCTCTCTCCCTCTCTTCCTTTGTTTTCCCGTCTGCCCCCGCACCCTGCAGCAAATCTCATCTTATTTCCTTTCGTCGAAGTGCATCTCTCGTCCCCCCCTCACCCTCTCTTCCCGGTTTCACAAAGAGCTGCTTCCATCACCTTTCCCGATTTCTAAGTGTGTTGCGAACCAAGCCCGGCGGCTTCGCAGCCCGGAACTTTCCCTTCCCTGCTTTTTCCTTTGCCAGTTGTCTACACATAAATAACTTCCATTTCGGCTATAGATGGTTCGGTGTTAAGACGTACAATCTAAGCTCATCCCTAACCCTCAATAGGCCGCGAGGAAGAGGACGAAGATGGCGAGGAGGGGGAGGAGAGCGGCGTGCCGCCGGGCGATGCGGGGCCACATTTCAACTGTCGCTCTCCGGGCTACCTGCCGCTGCCGGAAGCGCGCATGGCGGCGGCGGGAATCGAACCGAAGACCTTTCCCTCTCTGTCGCGTTTGCTGGCGTCTCTTTCCACCGTCACCGCTGTGGCGGAGGCGGCACTGGAACGTGCGGGCAGCGCCTCTACCCAGGTGGGGGCACTAGGTTTGTGGTGCCGCGTTGTGTGGTCTCGGAAGGAGGGGCCTTGCGTGGGCCTTGAAGGGTGATGTTGATGGCCACGGTGAAGGCGGAGTAGAAGCGAAACGGAACGGAGCCCGGAAGTGTGCTCGCACCAAAAACACAGCATCGAAACACACACGCCCCCAGCCTGCCGTCCTCCTCCTCGTCACCCCGCCCGCCTGCAGGGCCTTCTGGAGATGTACGCCCGGCTGCAGCAGTATCGCGGCGTCTCCTCGGGGCTGCCCGCCGGGGCTGCTGCAGCTTCCGAAGCCACTAGCCGCGTGGTGGCGGCCATTGAGGCGCTCTCCTCGGCCGCCCGCAGCGGCAGGGGCCCTGCCACGGTGGCGGCGGACGCGGCGGCGGCCATTGCATTGCTGCGGGCGCTGCCCGGGGGCGCACCCTTGGAACTTTGGGCCAAGATTGCACGCGCGTCGGCGGATGCGGGTAAATGCGGCGGGTTGGACGGTGGCGGCGAGGAGAAGAGGGGGGAGGGGAGGGGGAAAACGAGGACGCGTGTGTGTATGTGTGTGCCCTATGTGCCTGCCCGTGTGTATTTTGGTACTCCCTGTGCGGTTTTATAAAATGCCGTGCTGATGAAAATTTCTTGATCCGAATACCCTACATCACCACCGCTCCTCCCACCTCCCCTATCTGTACCTCCTTCCCCCCTCGTTTTCCCTCCTTTCTCCACCTCCCTTCCACCCTGCCCTCATCACCCACCTTCCCTTCTTCCTAGCCTGCTGGCCAGCCGCCCTGGAGAGCTCCGCCGCCGCCCTGGCCTCCCTCCCCGGCTCCGGCCCCGACCTGGACGTGCTGGCCCTAGAGGCCCCCGCGGATGTGCCCGAGATGACCCCCGCCGCCTGGTTCTGGACGGCCGTGGCGCTGGCGGTGCGGGGCGCGGCGCTGGCTGCGCTGGTGGACCTGCCTAGCCAGGGGGCCGCCACCGCGCTGACGGTGCGGCGGGAGGCGCTGGTGCATGCGGCGCAGGGCGCCAGGTGCGCTGCATTTGTGAACAAGGTAAGAAGGGGGGCGTAGAGAGGGGGGAGCGGGAGCGGGAGAGAGGAAGGTGTCATACC